AATTCTCACCGAACTTCGCCCAAGAGGTTTGAGCCGAAGAAGCGCCGCCCGACTTGCGGGGGAGCGCCGCCACGGGGAGGGGCCCTGGGAGCGCCGCCCCAACTCCTTCCGATGCGCAGCCGAAGTTTGGGCCTTTTGGGCTAGAAACGCCTTTGAGAGTTGCTCCATCTCGTTTCGCATGTCCATAGTGGCGAAGGCAACATATAGGAACTACCCACAGTAGAGGCTGCCTCCTTTGCCACGGCACCGAGCTCCGTAAAACTCACAGCCCCAGATTTCGGCGGGCAAAAAGCTGCTTTCATAGGTGTTCCCGCACGGAAGGTGCCCAGATGGCTGTGGAGCCTTCGGACTCGGAGATGTCGGGGATGCCTAGGTTGCGTTCTTAGAAGTCTTCGAAGTCTGTGGGGCTGCTGGTGCACTCCACGGGAGTACTCAAAGGTCGGTCCCAGCCTCGTTGCGACACACAGTGCCAGGGTTAGTAGGGTTTAGGGTTTAGGGTTTAGGGTTCAGGGTTTAGGGTTTAGGGTTTAGGGCTTAGGGCTTAGGGTTCTAGAATAGCAGTGGACGCACCAAGACTGGCTGGCTAAGTGACTGTGCTGTCGTGATGGACTGCGCTCGTCGTAGCCCCCAGCTACCGGAACCCGAAGCAGCCAGTCTCTGGGCTGCCTTGTCTCCATCGTTCTCGGACGTTTCTAGGGGGCGGGTTTCCTTAACTGGGATGACGGGAAGATGTCAAAAGCCTGCATAGCTTTGAAGAACACGGGCGGGTGTGGCGGGCCATCAGGCCTCAAGAAAGCAGGCAGTGTGTGTCTGATGGTTGTGGTCGCCCTGCCACAGGCTTTCTGCGGACTTCCTGGGCATACCTCTGCTCCATTTCTCCTGTCAAGGCTTTCGGGAGCGCGCTTGTAGTCCTTCTTCCCAGAACTTCAAGGCTTCGGAGCAGATTTCACTAGGGCTGACACCATGCCAGCCTCATGAGATCACGGAGGGCCATGAGGGCCATGCTTGCTTCGTGGAGCAGGATGATAGCCTAGCAGCTTTTGCCCCATCTGCTTGCGAGACGGTGTTCTCCGCACTGTCCTGAGTGTCCTGCGAGAGACATTGTCTATGCAATGCAAGGCAAAATAAGGCAGAATAAGGCAGCCGTGTGCTCTCACGGCCCGTGCTTCTTGATGCAACACCACGCCACGGGCACGCGCTCAAAGTCTCTGCAGGCAGTGCCAAAGTCCATCTGCGCCTCCGTTCGCGCCAGCGCGCCCTAGTTTGACTGGTCTCTACCAGCACAAGTCCCTGAGTTGCAGCCTTTCGAGGATGTTGAGACCATGGGCCCGCAGACAGGGCCGACCTTGGGGTTTGCATCGATTCTCTTGGGTGCTCGGCGCCCTTCGGGCCTATGGCGGCCTCTATGTGAGATGCTGACGCGTGTTGACGCGCTGACATGTTGCTTGCGGCCTGCCGGGCTATGCACGCATGTGCTTGCAAAGCTGGGCTGAGGTCTCTGCTTCGAACGGCTCGTGGGAAGCTTTATCAGAGGGTGAAGGCGCAGAAGCTGCAGAAGGTGCAGAAGGTGCAGAAGGTCCAGGTGCAGCAGGCTGTCGCATCGTGCTGTCTCTGCCCTGTTGCTGCTGGGCTTCTGCGGCTGAAGCGTTTGCTTCTCCTCGTCAGCGCATGGGCGGATGTGCCGGGAGCTCCCTCAATCTGTCGCGCCGCAGCTGTACGTAATCGCCGTTTTGAGAGTCGCAGGCATCTTGAAGACAAGGTAGCCCCGAAGATGTCGGGCTTCTATCGGCTTCGGACAGGGCCCTTGTCGAGCGGAGTCTTGCCACTGCTTGCAGCTTTTATGACACGGAGGCCCGCGAAAACCCAGAGGAAGGCAATGGAAGTCGGTCGCCCCCCGAAAGTGGGAAAGTAGGTTGGATCAGGAGCTCTTTTTGCTCGAAGCCTGCAAGGAACGGTGCCCATTTCAGTCCGGCGCGGCCTCTTTGGCACGGTATTTGCGTTGCCCTTCTCGCCTGCTTGCGGGCACCCGGGATCCAGAAGCGCAAAGCGCAGAAGGCGCGGAACAGGGCTGGCGCGGCTTTCCGCAGGCAGGCGGGGCGCAAGTTCCTGAGCTTTTGGTCTTTGCTTGAGAGCCTCGCACTTTTCAGCCTAGAGATGTGCCCTCGACGGACGAAGCCGTGAGAAGTTCACAGATAGGTGGGCAGTCGGTGCCTGGGTCTCACTGAACGGGGCTAGGCGGCTAGGCCACCAAAGCTAGGCGGCCCAAGCTTGCAGGGTGTCCTGCTTACAAGTCTGCCCCTCTTGCTCAGCTTCGGGACTCGGCGAGTCGGACCCAGATCCTCTGTAAATTCCGTTGGAACCCTGTGAAACCTCGGGAGGCCAGTGACCGCCTGATGCTCTGAGTTGGATCTTATAGAGTGCCCGGCGGTTTGTTTAACGCAGGGTGTCAGTCCTTGCGTTTCCTGGTTTCAAGAACCCGTCACAGTAATCTCAAGACCCATTCGGTGCTTCGAACTTTGAATCCTACATGAGCTAGGCACTAGTAAAGTAGCTCCGACGGTTCGAAACACCTCCCAGCTGTTTGGGGCTGTTTCTAAGCAGGCCCTGAGCCTGAGGCTCCGTTGACGGTTCCTGAGAGTTGCCTGATGGTTCCAGAGCCCCTCTTGGCGCTCACACATCCCAAGACGGATCTTTACAGACCCCTCGCTTGCCTGTAGCGTCCACGCCGCAGGTGGGCCTGTGTGGCCTTTACCCGCGCAGCTCTGAGACGAGGTCGCAAAGTTGCATGGTCGGGCAGCTCTTGAGCATCTATCAGTGCCCAGATGAGTCGCGAGCGTTGAAGCACTTGCAGAACTCAATTGCAAGCACGGCCTTTGCATTCAGCGCCCGGGCTTTTGGAAGGAAGGGCTGCAAGCGAGCACACAAGGCTCCGACGAGGCGAAGGCTGAGATCATAGTCCGGAATGCCCAAATAATGGGTGTCCACGGCACAAAGCGGGAAATGATCAGCCAGCGAGTGCTCCACACACATCACACACGCTCCTCCCAGAAGGAGGCGGTCTGGGAGCCTCCTTTCGAACCTCAAAACCAGCACTTCTACTTCTAATGCTCTTGCAACAGCTTCCGCGCGTCCGAGCCTTTCATGGTCTCTTCGTGCCTACTTTGGTGGTTGGGGCATGTGAGAGGGCAGGAAAAGAAAATCCAGGCCTCACTCCAACAGCTTCCTTCGTGTGGACTCCAGTCCGAGAGGCTTGAGCTGGTGGCTGTGAGATACGCCATGATACGCCCTCGCTCCTGGTCATCCACACAGTCGAGGTTCCCGAGGTTCCCGAGGTTCGGGGATCTCGGGGGTTTGCGAGTCCAGTTTGCAGTTTGGAGCTCTGTGGCCCGGCTGCTCCCCATACATTAGCTGGCTGTGAGTGGCTGGACCTCCCCGGATCTCAGCTGAAGAGCTTCTCGCTGAGAATCCGGCTGCCCCAGAGCTTGCCGGGACTCGGGGCCGGTGGGCTTCGTCGCGCTCGGCATCTCCGGCGCGGCTTCGGAGCCCACCTCAAAGATGCCTCGATGGTGACGAGGCTGCACGGGTGCTTCTTTGGATTTTTTGGCTCCGGACGTGTGCTGCACGTTTCGCCCCCGACCTTGTGACAGTTACTGCAGGTTTGCTAAGTGCGGAGCTCGGCAGGCTCGGGAACTTAGCAGGGCCAAGACGAAGAGATTGCAAGCAGCTCCCTAGTAGAGCTGAGATTCAAGCAGCTCCCTAGTAAAAAGAGCTGCCTGAGGCAAGTGCCCGAGAAAGGGAGCGCAACTCCCCTTGTGGCCACGGACTTCCACCGGCGAGGCTCCTGCCACAGCCGAAGTTTTGTCGATCCTTGTGCCATACTGAGCCACTGGAAATTTCACCAAGTGCCTCGAGGTCGCCCCCCCCCCGCCGGCCCGTTTTATGGCTTCTCAGGGGTTTGGGATCTTACAACCGCAAAAAACCCTTAAACCCCTACATTCAACTTCCTTAGGGTTCCGCAGAGGGTTTTAGGGATGTTCGGGTTTGGGAGAGAGCCTGGCGCCCAGCGAGGGCCCAAGCTCAAGCTCCGGCTCTTTCAGGCCCGGGGGATTCTGAGGAGAAAGGAGCTCCAAAAAAGGCAAAAACACACCCCCTGAACCCTGAAGCCCTACACTCCGAGCCCTTGAAGCCCCGAGCCTCCGTGCTGCACAGAAGCGCGAGCTCGGCTGAGGCTGCAGGGACTGCACGGGCCCCATTTCGGGAGGACTCGGCCTTGCTGGGTGGTGAGCCCGGTGTCGTGCGACTTCGAGGACAATTCAAGAGTTCCTTCGCCGCTTCGCCCCTTGAAACTGTCGCTCAGAAGAGTTTTGCTTGGGAGTCATCACCACATCGCTGCTGGCAGATGAGAAATGCCGATGTTTCAGGAGTCAGCTTGAAAGGGGTTCACGAGAATGCGGGGCGGATTTGGGCGCCGCAGACGTACCTCGGGGCTGACAAGATCGGTAGATCCCTCGCGCGGGCGATTCTAACAGAATCTGTGCGGCTCCTAAGCACACGGCTTCGCCCTTGCATTGCGCAGACGCGAGCTACGTCGCGGAACCTCTGAGCAAGTAGCATAGCGGTAGGGCGCGACCCCCCTAAGTCTTGCAACCTAAGCTCATAAGTCCTTCTTGGCCCTCTTGTTTCAATCTCCCGGAAAGGCGTCGGTGAGATGATCTCAAGATTCGATGGTTGGTTTCAGCGCCGCAAATCCCAAGGTCAGGTGCGTCGCACCACGGGCCCACCGTTATTTCCTCTCAAAGAACCATGACAGGCAGACCATAGCCGTAGCCATGTCAAACTTCGAGCCCTTCAAGGTCAGATCCGCCTTCGCCTGAAGACTCCATGCCTCCCAGAAGAGGAGGCCATGCGAAACTTCAAAACGATTCTGGTGGGCCTTCTGCTTGTTGAGCCCCTCTTGGATCTCCTGTAGACGCAAGAGGATCTTCGGGAGGTTGCCAGGAATGCCCTTGTTGAAGCAGTCCTTTGAGCCAAAAGAAGAGGGTTCTTGGGGCTCTTTCGGTGGCTTCAGCTTGTGGGCCTCGGGCGCCCTCCGGCTTTTGCCCAAGTTTCCTTTCTCACTCCGGTGTTTTCTGGGATGTAGACTAGCCCCATGTTCACCAGAAGACTGGGGTGATGGCCTGGAAGATGCCGAGCTCTTCCAAGCCCGACAGGTTTCGGTGGCAAGGTCCCCCGAACCTTCGCTTCGACTGCAGGGCCTCACAGAGCCCGCCGAAGTCGTCGCGTGCTGGCTGAGTCTGGGTTCCAGTTCTGCCCCGCCCAAGCACCCGGTTCTGATGGACCCAAAGCACTGCCTGGCCGATGGAGACTTCGAGCTCTTGGCACCCTTCGCGCTGAGCTTCCCGAATCAGGCCGAGGTCCCCGTTCCTTCGGGCCTGCCGGGGCCAGGCTCACAGTGCAGTTGCGGGGAGAGACGTGGATGTGCGTAAGCCGTCACATCTTGAGGGCCAGGAGGCGTTCTTGAGAAGCCACGGAGTGTGCCGGTGAGTGTGGTGACTGTCGGACTTCTGCTCTTTCAGCAGACTTGAGCCGACTCTGCTTTCAACTTTGACAATAAAACGGACGCGGAGACAGGGTGCTTCAGTGTGTGCGGCGCAGAGGCGAGTCGTCAGAAGGCCGGTAAGTGACTTTAAGTGTCCCCACCCTATGAACCCCCAGAAGGCCACTTTCGAGCTCCCTGAAGGTCTGTGGCATGAGGGCCTCGGACCTCGCAGCACATGCGTGCCCCAAATCTGCCTTCTCCTGTGAAAAGAAGACATTCCTTTTTAAGCGCGTGGCGCTTGAGTCGCAGATGCGCTTAAGGTCCCAGAGCTCTCGGACGTTAGTCAGCAAGCGTCTCAGTTTCCGGGACTGCCACCGAAGGTGTGCTGCCCGAGTTCCGGCACGTTACGACGATGATGCTCTCGTGAGTTGGCACGTGAGACTTCCGGAGGAGCCAAAGCAAGCCACGGTACCGGCAAGGTTGTCGCAGAAGCTGCGGTTTGCGGAGGTGTTCTGGGGTTTTGTTCAGCTCAGACGGCAGCTGCAGGTGGCAGTGCCCTCGTCCTGGCAGCTGCTTCGATGTTGCGTCAGGATTCCTGCGGTGTGGGCCGAGCTGTATCGAGGACAGGAAGACGTCAGGACCCGAGAGGGTGCGGCTATCCAGCCTGCGTGCCGGAGCCACACGGAGTCACCGACAGGTCATCAGAGGGAAAGGGATTGGGCAGAAAAAGCTGCGGTTGGCGTTGTTTAGTAGGAGCCCATGACGGTGTCCGCCGCCTTCGCACTCTGGACCGTGGCTTTTTACCCAGCAGCCTGTCGCTGCCTCATGGGTCGATCATATGCGCATGCCCCCCAAGAGGGGTACCCTTAATATACCCCAAACTAATCTAATCCTTATTCTAGGAGCCCCCCAAGAGGGTACCCCTATTTTCGGAAACCCCCATGTGACCTTTGGTTTGACCTCAAAGGCACAAGGGAGAGCTCTTGATGCGTGCCAGCTGTGTGGAAGAAGGGATGAAGCTGTGTGCAACAGCGCGCCGTATTTACCAAGCTCCGTAGCGTCCTCTCTTGCAAGAGGACGGCCACGAGCCCTAAGCTCCAAATGCCCCCAAATACAGGCTTTGCCTTACAAGGGGCCGGGTGCTTCGGCTCTGAGGGGCCCCACGCGGCGGGCTGAGGAACTGGTAGGATTGTGGAGCGGCGCATGACTCCAGAGCATCTTTTCCTGCAGCTGCCGACCTTGTGTGCCAGCGCGAGGGTCGCGGGCGGTGTGCGGGATCTACCGAAGTGTGCAGTTGCCGCAGTAGCCGCAGGACCTGGGCCCAAGCACGCTGTGCTAAAACTCGCGCCCTTGCATTGCCGGCAGAGTTCCTTCTGCCTCCCCTACTTTCCCTTGCTTAGCTCTTGGGGGCGAGGGCCTCCAAGCTCCAAGAAGCGGCTGTCGGGCCCTCGGATGAGAACTATAAGGGCCATAAGGGCCATAAGGGCCCCTCAGTCTTCTCGTACTTAAGAGCGGCGCAGCTCCCAGCTAATCGTGGGGTCGGCCACGTGATCATGGGGCCCCCCCTCCGTGAAAGAGCCCGAAAGAGCCTTTCGAGGCGCTTGTGGCCGAAGGCCTCTGAGGCGTCGAAGAGGCGAGCTGCCCCGGTTTAGGGTCTAGGGTTGAAAGGTTTTAGGGGTTAAGGGTCTAGGGTTTTAGGGTCCTCAAGTTGCGCCTTGAAGCTCAAGCTCAACCTGTCCCCGTCTCTCACTCGAAGCTGCCACGGCCCTCTCCACACGAGTCGCAAGAGTCTCGGGCTAAAGTCAGTTCCCCCTCGCAGCCCCAGCTTCACAGCTTAGTGTGTGGCTCTATTTTATGAGGTATGGGGGCACTGAGCTCCTGATGTCAGTCTGGAGGCAGACCCAGCGCGCCTTGTGCACCCAGGTGCTTTGCCACTCCTGCCTTTTTGGAGATTCATATCCCTAAAACTCCCTAAACTGCCGGAAAGCTTGAAAGCGCTGAAGCTCTCCAAGAGCCTCAAGCCCCAAGCTGCTTTCCGGAGCTTCCGGGAGGGTACATGCGCCCATCTCCCTTTGAAGCCAAGCTGGGAAGACGGTCCACTTTGGGAGCCCCAAACAGCTCGCCGGACCCTCCGCTCTGGTTTTGATGTTCGGTGCTGCTAAGGAGCCCCCGAGTTGGTGTAAGGAGCCATGGCGTGAGGACAGCCGTCTCTTTCTTCACTTCGCTTGTTCCGGAACTGCTTGTTTAAGTGGTGGCATTGTCGACCTCCCAGCCTTGCCCATCTTTGGAATGCTGCGGTGCGAATGGCTGCATTGCTGGCGTCCTGGGTCAATCCGCGCGAAGCCTGCCCTTCCGCGGAAGTCTTGCTTGCCGGCGACGGCGCTGGGGCTGGATGTAGAGTGAGCCAGTAGGACAGTACTGAAGGCTGACCCAGAGTTTGGGCTGCTTCGAGTAGGTTCTGCCAAGTGAGATGGTAGAGTATGTGTTTTTTGCCAAGAGGCTCCTTTCAAAATGGGCCGGTAGGTGATTTCTTGCAAATGTGGGTTCTCGATGGGGGCCCCAGCATTCAATCTTCCAGAACGAGCCACGCGAGCATCCCGAATGTGAGAAGCTGTCACCCACTTCTGAGAGCTCTTGAAAGCCGGCTGAGGGCTCCATCTGTGGCCATGGTGCTTCTCACAGCCCAGCTCTTCGTCTGCACCCCGGCGTCGATTCCCAAGCGGCTGCCTGCGGCTTCTGGATGACCTCTGCGGCTGGTTTCACGTTGAAGCCGCTGAGATTTCGCTTCTAAGTCGTCTAACCGTGCCATCCGTGTTATGAAAAGAGATTGTCTCAATGCTGCCCACCGGACTTCACCGCATGGACGGCAAAGCAGACATGCCCTGTCGCAGGTTTCCTAGTTGTCTCGCTAGTTTGTGGGCTGTGAGGCACTCGGAGTGTTGAATATCAAAGGAGAAGTCGTGCGGTGAATGTTGCTGCCCGGTTGCCAGGAGACGTGCCCAAGGGCTTTGCGTGCTGCTGCTATCAGCCAATGCTGACTGCTTTGTCAGGCGACAATGCACACGCGCGGGCGCGGTGCACAGTCTAGAATGGGCTTAGATCTCCTTTTCAGTCCGTCAGTCCAGTGGAAGCAGTCGAAGTTTCAACTTAGCACAACCGACCCTTGTGCAAGCTCGTGGCGAATTAGATTGTTGGTTTCAGAGATTGTCTCAATGCTTCTCACAGGACTTCAGCACATGTGCCCCAAAGCAGACACGCCCTGTCGCATGCCTCCTGGGTGTCTTGCTAGTTTTGTAGGCTGTGAGGCACTCGAGGTGTGGGATGTCAAGGGAGAAGTCGCGCGGTGATTGGTTGCCAGGAGAGGTACCCAGTGGCCTTGCATGCTGTTGCTATCAGCCAATGCTGATTGCTTTGTCAGGCGACAATGCACACACAGGCGCGGTGCACAGTTCAGCCCAGTGGAAGTTGGTGGTGAGGTTGGTGAGGATGTTCTGCAGCCAGAGCCGCAGATGTATTTGAACGAGCTTCGACTGTCGGCGTCCAGTATGTGGCACAGGCGAGCACACGCACAGAGATGCATGGGTGCATGCACGGCACCGAGCTTGACTTACAACGACTACGCCAAGAGTCCGATGAAGGTGCAGCGATTTCATCTTAGCACAGCCGACCCTTGTGCGAGCTCGTGGCGAACTAGCTTGTTGGATGCAGAGATTGTCTCAATTGTCTCAATGCTTCTCACAGGATGCCCCAAAGCAGACGCGCCCTGTCGGAAGTACTCGCGCGGTGAATGTTGTTGCCCGGTTGCCAGGAGACGTGCCCAAGGGCTTTGCGTGCAGTTATTGTCAGCCAATGCTGACTGTTCTGTCAAGCCCACACGACTTGGGCACGTGTTTCCCAAAGCAGACACTGCCCTGTAGCGGGCCACCTAGTTGGCTCGCTAGTTTGTAGTCTGTAGCCACTCGGAGTGTCGGATGTTCTGATGTTCTGCAGCCAGGGCCACACAAGTATCAGAAAGTGCCTCGTCCAGCTTTCGACAGAGCCACAACGACCACGCCAAAAGTCTGATGAAGGTGCAGTGATCTCAACCGGTTGTTGGAACACCATCGGCCCTTGTGCGAGCACTTGCCGAACGAGCTTGTTGGATGCGAAGATGGTGTCAATGTCCACAGGGCTTCGGCACGTGCTTCCCAAGTTGGCTCGCTAGTCTGTAGGCTGTAGCCACTTGGAGTGTGGGATGTTCTGATGTTCTGCAGCTACACAAGTATCAGAAAGTGCTTCAGCGGTCGCTGTCCAGTTTTCGGTAGAGCCACAACGACCACGCTAAAAGTCTGACGAAGGTGGCGTGACTTCAACCGGTTGTTGCAGCATCATTGACACTTGTGCGAGAACTTGCCAAGCTAGCTTGTTGGATCCGGTGTCAACGCTGCCCGCAAGGCTTCGACACGTACTTCCCAAAGCAGACACACCCTGCAATGAGCCACCTAGTTGGCTCCTTTGTAGGCTGTAGGCAGCCAGGGTCACACAAGTATCAGAAAGTGCTTCAATGGTCGCTGTCCAGTTTTTCGGCAGAGCCACATCGACGCGCCAAAACTTTGACGAAGGTGCATTGATTTCAACCGGTTGTTGCAGCATCATCGACCCTTGTGCGAGCACTTGCCAAGCTAGCTTGTTGGATGCAAACATGGTGTCCATGCTGCCACCTCCTGCAGCGGGCCACCCAGTTGGCTCGCTAGTTGGTAGGCTGTAGCCCTCAGAGTGAGGGATGTTCTGATGTTCTGCAGGCATGGGCACACAACTATCAGAAAGTGCCTAAATGGTCGCCGTCCAGTTTTCGGCAGAGCGACAGGAACCACGCCAAACGCTTCAACGTGGCACAAGCGACCCCTGTGCGAGCTCGTGGCGAAGTAGCTTGTTGGTTTCAGAGATTGTCTCAACGCTTCCCACAGGACTTCAGCACATGTGCCCCAAAGCAGACACGCCCTGTCGCATGCCTCCTAGTTGTCTCGCTGGTTTGTGGGCTGTGAGGCACCCGGAGTGTAAAATATCAAGGAAGCACTCGCGCGGTGAATGTTGTTGCCCGGTTGCCAGGAGATCAGCCAATGCTGACTGCTTTGTCAGGCGACAATGCACACACAGGCGCGATGCACAGTCTAGAAGGGGCTCAGAGGTCCTTTTCAGTCCGTCAGTCCAGTGGAAGCAGTGGAAGTTGGTGGTGAGGTTGGTGAGGATGTTCTGCAGCCAGAGCCACACATGTATTTGAACGAGCTTCGACTGTCGGCGTCCAGTATGTGGCACAGGCGAGCACACGCACAGAGATGCATGGGTGCATGCACGGCACAGAGCTTGACCTACAACGACTACGCCAAAAGTTTGATGAAGGTACAGCGATTTCATCTTAGCACAGCCGACCCTTGTGCAAGCTCGTGGCGAACTAGCTTGTTGGATGCAGAGATTGTCTCAATGCTTCTCACAGGATGCCCCCAAGCAGACACGCCCTGTCGCATGCCTCCTAGTTGTCTCGCTGGTTTGTCAGAATGTGGGAAATCAAGGGAGCACTCGTGCGGTGAATCTTATTGCCCGGTTGCCAGGAGACGTGTTCAAGGGCTTTGCGTGCAGTTGCTATCAGCCAATGCTGACTGTTCGGTCAAGCCCACACGACTTGGGCACGTGTTTCCCAAAGCAGACACCGCCCTGTAGCGGGCCACCTAGTTGGCTCGCTAGTTTGTAGTCTGTAACCACTCGGAGTGTGGGATGTTCTGATGTTCTGCAGCCAGGGCTACACAAGTATCAGAAAGTGCTTCAGCGGTCGCTGTCCAGTTTTCGGTAGAGCCACAACGACCACGCCAAGAGTCTGACGAAGGTGGAGTGACTTCAACCGGTTGTTGCAGCATCACCGACCCTTGTGCGAGCACTTGCCGACCTAGCTTGTTGGATGCCAAACCGGCGCCAACGCTGCCCACAGGACTTGTACACGTGTTTCCCAAAGCAGACACCCCCCTGTAGCGGGCCACCCAGTTGGCTCGCTCGTTGGTAGGCTGCGGCCGCTCGGAGTGAGGGATGTTCTGATGTTCTGCAGCCAGGGCCACACAAGTATCACGAAGTGCTTTGACTGTCGGCGTTCAGTCTCTGGCACAGACAAACATGCATTCGGAGATGTGCTGGTGCATGTCCTCCGGCCACCTGAGAGTGAACGCACGCGAGAGCTGGACCTACAACGATGCCTCGAAGGTCTGGCGAAGCTTTCAACCCGATGTTGGAGTGCATCACACCATGCTGATGTGTTCTGCAAGCCAGCGGAGGTTCGCGGGGACCAGCTGTTCTCGTGATGGCTTCTTCGTGGCACATCTTTCGCAGGTCAGATTCAAGTGCCCCAGCTGTATTCACGTTTCCGCGAGGCTTGCCCCATGTCACCAGATGGTCCTGCCGTTGCACAGTGGACTTGAAGATATGTGGCAGCGGCTCAAGACGTGAGGGCTTGTAACAGGCCCCGGTGAGCACGGCACGACATGTAACAACGACCGGTTTTGCGCCTGCGCCACAAGGCTTGCGAGAAGGGTTGCGCGCCCAGAATGCCGCGCGACAAGGGTGACAAAAGCTGGCGCGACAAGGGGCCGCCGACAAGGCCTTGTAACAAGGTGGGGCCGAACCCCCAGCCCACCCCCCCCCCCCCCCCCTCCCCGCGACACACCGGGGTTTTGAGCCCCATGTGTCAGTGAGGCACAAGATAAAGAGTTATGGCAACAGCAGCAAGTCCAGACATGTTGAGATGCTATTGCCGTCGTTGTCTTGGCTTAAGCCGCGCACAGCTGCCAGAAGCACAGCCGGCTGCTTGGCTTCTGCGACATCGCCGCGGTGCAGCCTATCTTCCATCCCTGACAACCTGCGTCTTGACACCGTGAGACGCCACAGCCACACCCCAGTCAAGATTCCTGGGGCCGTGGAGTTTTCAACCTTCCAAGAGGCCTGTGTTGCCGGCCCCCTGTAGGAGAGTGCAGGCAGCAGGTCTGAAAGCTCTCAGAGCTTGCAAGCGTGAGATCCTCCTGCTCGGTCGTACGGTTCACCTGCGAGCGGATCGAAAAATGCCAAGCTTCCCTTGCAGTTGTCTTATGCCAAGCTGAGATATTGTATGTACCCAGCGTTTCGCCAGCACGGCAAGGGGCCCACGGGAGTGCGGACCGGGGTACGAATGGGCTCAAGCGGCTTAGGGCCTTAAGGGCCTTAGGGTTTTCGGGCGCGCGCTTGGATGTGCAGCTCATGATCGTTTTGAAGCTGTCATTGCCCAGATCGTTTCTGCTCGTTCCTTGTAGTTCCAAGCCCTACCAATGCTTCAAGAGAGATTCCATTCTTTCATGGGTGGGTGGCATGTTTCTAGGGTTTGACAGCGTCAAGGAGTGTACCGACCATGGCATTGGAAGCATGGTGGAGCCGGGCCTCGGGAGATCATCTTTCAAAGGGCATCGGAACTCCAGAGCCGTTTGGGCTCTTATGCAAGCAAGCATGTCAAGTAGCTATGTCAAGTAGCTGGAAGTGGCTGCAAGAAACATGTGAGTCGCATGGTCAGAAGGGACGAGCACGTTCAAGATCCTCTTGTTAAAAAATAGCAAGATCCTAGCAAATCATGATGCTTTGCCCACTTCGCCTTCGCACTGTCGCCCTGTTTCTGACCGTTTGGGTCGCTGCAGGAGCAGGTTTTGGAGGCTGCCCGCCCATAGAGCAAGTGCAGAAGCCTGAGGTGGTAAGCACTTACAACGTCTCCAAGGCCCAGGGGAGGTTCTTTGAGATCTTCGTCAAGGACGTGGTGGAGGCTCCCTGCACCTGCTTTCTGAAGGACAGGCGTGTGAATGCCAAGGGATTGCAGGACAGCGATCAGCTCTACTGTGGTGCTGGGAAGTACATGTCCTGGTACAACGCGACGGAGGACAACTTCTTCGTTCCGGGCCACAACGCGCGCTTCGACCTCGTCTTTCAGCGGCCCCTCATCCGCAAGGTCGTTTTTCCCAATGTGGTGCTGGGCTTTGCCGAGGAGGCTCCGGGTGCACACACCAGCGGCTACACCTGGCTGGTGGAGTACCAGTGCATGGAGCGGCTCGGGGTGCAGACCTACATGGGCTTCTAGGTCGGCCCTTGGGATACTTTGCACATTTTCTCTTCTTATTGGGTTTACGAGGATCATATGCATATGAACATTTCTCAGAGGGTTCTTTAAGGGCCATCCTAGGCTTCAACATCTACCACCGGAACTGGGACCCTCCTGAGGCGGATGTGATTGCAATCCGAAGGGTCATCGAGGAGGCAGGCCTTGAGGAGCACTGGGCCAGTATCAAACCCATGGGGGGCCCTCACTGCAACTACACCAACCACACATCCTCGCCTCCTTCGACGTTTCAGAGCAGCCCTGCTTTGTTGGTATAGTGTACAGCGTTTCCGACCACAGGTGGATGCGACCTGTGAGAAAATAGCTGAATGCAGCAAGACGGTGAGCCACCTCGTGCAAGCCAAATCCGAGCTAGGCCCTACGCAGACTGGAGTATCACGCGACAAACCTGTGCAACCTGAACCTCAAGTCTAAAAGCCAGACAGGCGTCGGAATATTAGCCTTAATGGCCCCTTTATCATTAGACGATAAAGACTAACCAACAACCCTGTTCCAATACTTCAGGCCACTATATCGTAGTCCATAGATTGGCGCCCCAGCTTCAGGGAGTCCCAGCCACAGCTGGGCAAGGAATTCGGGCCCCCTTCTGGGGCTTCTAGGGTGGGAACGCTTGCAGGCCCCCCTAAACCCGAAACCCTAACCCCAACACCCTATTCTAATTACCGAGCCTGCAAGACATTGAGTTTAGGCTTGGGCACTTCCTTACGTCGTCGCAGGAGAGCGCGGGAACCCTCAGCAGAAAGCATCCCATAGCCCTCGGTGAACCAAAGCGCAATGAATCTCGAGCCCATTTGAGGTGTGGGAGTTGTCCGAGAACATTTCCTTACCAGTGGCCATCAGGGAGAGGGAGGTGGGGGCCATGAAGGGGCCCCACATAGGCAACAAACCCCTGAATCCTGATACCCTATCATAGGCCCTCATCCAGAACCCATTCATCATCAGGGCCTCCAGGTCCCACGACCTACAGGCTACCTGGCTACCCTGACGTTGGCCAGGCCTCAGTTGGGGGGGGGGGGGGGCAGTGGTAACGAACGCCGAGGGAATGTGAGAATGCTCTCAGCGGCGCGCAGCCCTGAAGCTCAGCTGCGCAGCCATTTAGGCTTGTAGGCTGCTTTAGTCGTTTTAGTCTCCTGTGGTGGTCCGAGTCGGCGTGGCAGCATGGTGCTGCTGCGGTGCGCCCCCTTCATGGTCCTGCGGGCTGTCGCCTTCGTGTCGCCTGCCGTTTTGCCTCCACAATCCTTGTTGCACACCAACAGCAGCTGCCCACAAGGTTTCAAGGCGGGCCTCCAGGTTCTGTTTTCTCATTTCAGGCAGGAGTCTCACGGGAGTGTCGGGGTGAGGCGTGCGGGCACTGCCACTGCGTGCCGGAGGCAGATTGCGATGCTTGTCGAGGCGCGGCACGGCTTCCGAAGTGTACATGTCGAATAGAGTCACGTGGCCTCTTTACCCGTGTCGGACTGCCCTGAACTGGTATGGACAGGCCCCATGGTGCACGATGTGCACGCCAGGAACAGCACGAAGGTCAGCAGCAAGATGGCGGGCTGCCCGCCAGAAAATGTCGATTGCGGCAACTACACCTGTGTACCCCCTACCATGTGCCTTGGCCTGTCTTGGCTTTTGGCCTCGATTGAAATAGCAGGGAGGAGTAGGGAGGATTGCGCTGGGAGTACTCAATTCTGCCAGAATGCTCAAGACGTGAGTACCTGTCCCGGCTCTTCGCTAAGGGGCTGATTCAAGACATCTTAGTAGTGCCCATGATCCAAACGTCCTAGCTGCCAAATAAAGGACAGTTCTCCCATGAACGCATCATCTGCCCGTACATTCTTTAGAGCTCAGGTGCACGGAGAAAGGTCTTCTTGAGGCGCATGCAGCTCTCTGCGAAGCGTCAGCAGCAAAGCTCACATCCAACTCTAAGTCTCTCTCTCTCTCTCTCTCACTTCGTGACTACCGCTGAGAGCTCTTTAAGAAGATAGAGAATGCAGACGCGCTGGGCTGTTCCCTGTTGCAGGCAGAAAGCACTGCGAGAAGATCCAAGGTCCCCGGCTGTCCGGAAGACTTCACGGACTGCGGCATCTGTGCGTGCGTTCCGGGCAACGTCTGCAGCCGCTGTCCCAGAATCATCGCCTTTTCCTTCACCCATGGCACATCATCGGCCATGCCCAACGAGACGTACAACGAGTCCGGCGTGCAGGACACTTGGGATCCAGCCCTCTCTGCTGAGCCTGCTGAGGCTGGACGTGGGGCAGCATGCGGTGGACCTACCATAGTGCCCACGCGCCTACCGTGGTGCTAATTGCTCATCATCTATATTCTGGTTCAGCACCTTCCTGGAACAAAAAACCCTGTAACCCGTGTTGTACTCCCAACCTCCCCCAGGATCGTATCTGGAGCCAGGATGGCACGGCAAGGCCAGTGAGCTGGTCGCGGTACACCTCCACCTTCCCATTCTTGGTGGCACTCAAAGCAATCAACAGATGGGGTGGCCGCTATCACCTCTGTGGGGGGACATTGATTCGAGAAACGCATGTGCTCACAGCTGCACATTGCTTCCGCAAAAACGGCGGCTGGGACAAGAATGCCGAGGACATCGAGGTCTGGTGGGGGCATGGGAACAACGATTGGATTAGTTCGAAGGTCGACCTCATTGTCACTCCAGCACTCTTCAATGAACAGCAATCCTGGGATCATGATGTCGCAGTTCTTCGCTTGAGCCGACGCTTTGCGGGTGCTCCGCGCGTGCGCCTGTCACATCGGTCCTCCTATGCACTGGGCTCTGGAGCGTTGATCGCTGGATGGGGCATGGTAAATGAAGCCATGACTAACATGCCGATCGACAAGTTAAAGGAAGCCCAGAAGAACATTGCCGCTACGTCTCATTGTCACAGGTTTGACTCGAAATTCCAAGGGCAGAACATCATCTGCACTACGTCCTGGAAGTCAGGTATCGGAAAAGGCGACAGCGGTGGGCCAATGCTGCAAAACGGCTATCAAATCGGCATCTGCTCCCATCATTTCCGTCGCAGCGGCTTCTCTTACTTTGATGCCTTCACCCGCGTGTCAAGTTACACTGATTGGATCGATGGTGTACTGTCCCATCATCCGTAAGCTAGTAAGTCACTCCACCGTGGGCCTCATGCAGAATGAAGATCTGCGAGCAGGCCAGTGGTTCAACTCCTCGTACTCATGCACGTTGCCCCTTTGCCCGGCATGGGGCCGAACCTTTTCCATCCATGAGTACCGAGGCAATCCAATTTTGAGTCTAATTCGGGTTCTCTTGGGTCAGGAATGCTGGCCAAATCACCACGGCGCCCCCAGAAGAGTTTTTCAAAGAGTTTTGCTGAACCAGTCGCCCAGTTGAACGGGCGCGGGAAAAGAGGTGCCAGTGCTCCACAAGTGAGCTACCGCCCGGGCGCCTAGACCATGGATGCAGTCAGACAGCCAGTTGGGCTCGGAAAACGTCCGCCTGTGACGATGTGCGTGTCGGAGGGGCTTAGGACAATTCACATAACCCTAAACCCTAAACCCTAAACCCTAAACCCTAAACCCTAAACCCTAAACCCTAAACCCTAAACCCTAAACCCTAAACCCTAAGATTCAGCCCGTGCAGTCTGGCCATGCCTGTGCCGAAGCTCAGCTCACGCAGCCATTTGGGGGCTGTTTCGGCTGCTCGTGGGGTCGATATGCGCACTTAAGCACCCCTAAACCCTAAACCCTAAACCCTAAACCCTAAACCCTAAACCCTAAACCCTAAACCCTAAACCCTAAACCCTAAACCCTTCAAGAGGGCGCTTTGTATCTCCATGTCTATATCGCTTTTTGTATGCAAGGCAGGTCTAGCTGTTAAGCGAGCTTGGTTGCTTCGTAGGTCACAGGCTACCGAGTAGGCACCCAACGACACAGCTGTTTAAACGTATTTCGTTCTGATGCAACCGCTCTCAGCGTATGGGGCTGTTCAGAGCCGTCCTTTTCATCGTGGTGGTCCAGGGGTTCGATGAGTGGTGTCGACCTTCCACGAGTTCTTGCCACGGACGGCGCCAGAGTTTCAATGTATCCAAGTTGTTTCATCTGGATTTCACAGCCATAGCAGTACCCTGGAGTTCCACAAGCAAGCAACCCTTTACAGCTGAGGATCGGGATGTGTGTTAACAGCGATAGTTCTGGTAAGTTCTGGTGGTTGGGGTTCCTTAAGGTCGAGGCCGCAGACTGGGATGGGGATGGTGATCTTGATCTTATCGTCGCGCGTCAGACTCCTCGTCAGACTGGTCAAGATATCGGCAGCTTCCATCTTTTGGAGCAGGTGGGGGGCACCTTTGAGATCCAAAATGGAAGCCGGGACCCTTTTCAGCAGATCACGCCGCAAACCAACTTCTGGTGGAAGAAGGCCTTTGCTGCTGCAGACTGGGATCTTGATGGTGACGTCGACCTTCTTGTGCAGAAGGATGGTTTCGTACACTTCCTGGAGAGGCTTGCAGAAACCCTAAACCCTAAACCCTAAACCCTAAACCCCAAACCCTAAACCCTAAACCCTAAACCCTAAACCCTAAACAGGCTTGCGGATGGAAGCCTGGGTCACCCTCAAGCCTTCCTGGAGACCTTCGATGCCGAAAGCTTGGGCTCCATGGGTCAAAGGGCCCTGGCGCTCGGCGACTTCGATCAGGATGGGTTGTCAAAATTCTGGTCCCTTTTTGGGTACCCTAAATATTAGGTGCCGTATTAGAATGGGTACCCTAAATATTAGGTGCCGTATTATAATGGGGATCCCTAAATATTAGGTGCCGTATCATAGTGAGGATCCCAAAAAGGGACCAGAATGTTGACAACCACCCATCAGGATGGCGACCTCGATCTTCTGCTCGAAGGGCCCGACTACGGTATCAGGCGCCTGGTATCAGAGTTAAAAAAATATCTGAAAGGCTATGTATTAGAGTGAAGATATCTGAAAGGCTATGAACCTGACATAGCTGTGGTCTCTCATGGACTGCTCCATATGAAGAGAGGGTTCCGGGTCCTAAGCCGCCCAGGTACTTTGAGCACTTGGCTGACGGGAACGTTTCCGAGCGCACGGGCATGAAGCACTTGTTCCAAGGTTTGAGGCCGTTCATGAACAACCCAGGAGAGGCTTGCACAAAAAATGGAAGGTTCCCGTTTATGGGACGTAATGATGTATTTACATTGCCCTAAGGGTCCATGTACCTCATTATCCTATACTTGGGCCCCAAAGTCCCTATATATGAAGTACTTTAAGGCCCATGTATTCCTTATTTAGGTACGTGGACCCTATAGGGTTGTATAGACTGTTTGAAGTGCAAGAGTCAAGGGCCTAAAGGAGGGACCCTTAGAAGGGACCTTAACTGTAATGTAGGGCCTCATTAGGGGCTACTTAGGTATATAGGGACTATATAAGGCACATATATATATATATATGTATATTTACGTTAAGAGGGTTATATATAGGGGAATAAGATTAAGGGTGCCTTCTAGGGGCCCCTCCTGATACCCCTTAGAAGGCCTTTCCTTTGAGAAGCCCCTGAAGGTGTTCTGCAGCCAGTGGATTGGAATGGAGACGGCCTGCTTGACCTCATTGTGAAGAATATAGGCTGGGACCACGGGCCCTCTGAAAATCTCTTGTTCTTTGAGCACACCTTGGATGGAAGCTTCATGCATCGTCAGGGAAATTTCCCCCACTTCAGCAACCAATCATTTACAAGCGCCGACTGGAACGGGGACGGCCTGCAGGATATGTTGGTCAGCAACGAGGATGGCTCAATCCAGCTTGTCTCCAGCATGCTCGACTCGAGATTCTTTGAGAGGACGAAGTCGGAGTCGGTCTTCAGTGCCGTGCGCATCGAGTGGTCGAAAATCGATCCATCTTTGGTGGATTGGAATGGAGATGGTCTCCTCGACTTGGTCTTGACGTCCCCACACAAAGAATATGGCACCAGGGTTCTGGAGGGATCCGCAAGTGGACTTCATGAAGTGGAGCCACCTCCCCTTGAGCACACCTTCGAAGGCTTGGCCCACACGAAGCTCCTAGATGTGAACGGCGATGGGCGCACCGACGCAGTTGGCTGTGTCGGGGGAGCAGGCGGTTGTGACGTGGGTGTCCGCCCTTTCTCATTGGTGTACTTTGAGCGACTGCAGAACGGATCGCTGCAACAGAAAGCCGGGAAAGCTAATCCCTTCTGGAAGCTCAACGAGGGTTTTAGTGAAAGTGGTCTTGGAGGGGACGATTTTGAGCTGGCAGATTTGGATTACGATGGTGACCTGGACCTGGTAGTCTGCACAGATACCTCCCTTCTCTTCTTCGAGCAGACGTCCAGCGAGTGGCTTGCAAGAGAAGCTCTTCCAGTCAGTCTCAGCGGCTACAAGTGTGCCTTGCGTGCTTTCGACTACAATGGCGACATGCGGATGGATCTCCTCCTCGGAACTGATGACCGGCTGTTGGTGTTGGAAGGACTAGGAAGCTTCCGACTGAGGGAACTGCCACAGAGTGAGAATCCGTTCCGAGACATCGAACTCAATTGCTATTTGTCAATTGGTTTGGCAGTTGGGGACTGGAATGGAGATGGCATTGCAGACGTTCTTGTTTCGGAGGCCAACCCGGACTGGAAGGGCCTCCGTTTCTTCGAGAAGGGCTTCTGCACCAAGCGCGAGACCTGCAGCGGCAGAGGGTTTTGCAATCCCTCTTTGGGTAAATGCGAGTGCTTGTCTGGACACCAGGGGACAATAACCGCAGTGCCCGTTTATTTCCTGACTCTTCCTCATTAAGTGGTTGACTTTTCTCAAGAGCCGGCTGATTGCAATGCTCACAACCAAACCCACTGACGCTGCAGGATACCAGTTCCTGGATTGCTCTGGCTGCGCGGCTGATTTCTACCGGGCCGAGACCAGGAACATCTATTCGAGAAGCCTAGATGTACTCTCCAGCTGTGAGCCATGTCCTGGGCGATCCCCTAGCGGTACCAGCAACCTGTCTGAGTTTGTGTATCCAGCTGGCGTTAAGAAGCGGATAACAGTTGCCCCCCCCCCCCCCATCTTACCCCCCTTGATGACACATTCCCTAAACCTCAATGACAGATTGCAGGCAAAGCTTACCATTTCTGGGCGAGGGATGTTTGAAGGGATCAGTTCTCACCATCTGCTTCCTGAACAGTGTGCACTCTTCATCCCAGGCAATGTTTGCTCAACACGGGGCAAGTGCCATGATGATGACCTGGCCCGCACCGAAAGTGCACAACACGGCAATGGGAGCTGCTTGTGCCAGGAGCCTTTCTTTGGCGTAAACTGTGAATTAGGAGGCTGTCCGGCAGGATATGAATACGTGCAACGCAAGCATTGGACCTGCGTGGCATGTCAGAAGGGATGGTACAAGCAGGCTGTTGGGAACAATGTTCCTTGCAGTCCCTGCCAAGCAAACCGTTTCATGCCTGTTTTGGGCGGTGCTTCTTGCCTCCAGTGCGAAGACATGTGGCTTCGGGTGCAGGTCAACAAGGAGAAGACAGCATGCACGCGCGCGATGGTCAATGTTCTGGCAATACCGACGGCATTCATCTTAGCAGCTGGGTTTTTTGTGATGCTCCCATATGTGAGTGGCCTCCCTTTGGCAGTGCGGGATGTGCGACTGGGCCAGGAAGGTGTGATGGTGACCACGAAAGTGCGGCACTGGATGCTGAGTGGCAAGCGAAAGATGCACTTGAGGTGCATGGCTCATCCGGATCGTTTGGTGTTTGGGTGCAATGTATAGTGTGCACAATGCATGATCTGCGCACACACACACACATTTCGATTTAATATATACCTATCTAGTTCTTTATCTGTCTATCCATCCATCTATCTGTTTATATGTCTCTCTGTCTATCTATCCATCCATCCATCAGTGGGTGGCTATGGCGTCTGGAGTACATTTCTCAGGTCATGACGTCTTCTCAAGAACCTACCGCTCCCCCATAGACAAGCAACGGGTCTCCATCCACCCCAACCCTACACCCTAAACCGTAAACCCTAAACCCTAGACCCTAGACCCTAAACCCTAAACCCTTTCACTCCCTTCCATTGCGTAAACCCTAAACCCTAAACCCTAGACCCAATGGTGGTCAGCGGGCCCCTTTGTGTGCCCCATTGCACCGGTCGAACCTCACCCCAAGTAGAGCTACCATGGGGCCTTGAGACCGGTATGGGTATTTCGCCAAATAGGGGTAATATATGTATATCTATATCTATGTATATATACACATATACATATTTAGGGCGTAGGGTTTAGGGTTAAGGGTTTGGTGTTTAGGGTTTAGCTGTATTTCCCAAAATAAGGGTACCCCTATATACTCCCAAAATACTACAACCCTTATTCTAGAAACTCCCAATCACAAGTAGGGCCTTTTAGGGCAGGCACTTGCAGTTCTGCCGAGATCGCTAGCAACGTGCATGCTGCAGGGCACCCCTCCCTATTTGGGAAACCCCCATATTATCCTAGCGGGGATTTGGTGCATTAGGGTTTAGGGTTTGCAGGTTTTGCCCACTCCTTACTTGGCTGCTGATCGGACCCCCGACAATGGCCGCGCCGTACAATGCTGCGTCACCAGTTGGGCTCCACTAGTTGCACACAGTTCTCCCCAGTCGGGCTCCACTAGTTGCGTTGACTCCCTGTCCCCTCGAGCTAGACTTTTCGCATCGATCGTCTTAGGGCCATCGGAGAAGATGCTGCGCACCTTGTGCATCCAACACTGTTTCGGAGGAAGGGCCGTGTCTTGTAGAATGCTAGAATACACTCGCAGCCTGAGTTTAACCAGGTTTGAGCAGACTGGCCACCCTCTCTTGGACGGACAAGAATTTCGAGTTCAGATTTGGAATGATATTCAGTTCCTTGGAATCCAAACAACGGGTGTCCCAAACAACCAAGTCCTTTTCAGGTTGGCATCCTAGTGAACTGATTGCTTGGGAGCAGCTTGTTGTCCGACTGTTTGAATGCAAAGGTTCTTGCTTCTGGACGTCAAAGACGATGTTGCTCTGAGCAAGGACATCGAGACTTCGAGGGGCACAGGCCATCTGAAACACCGCGACTCGGTGTTCGGTAGAGGCATCATGATCCCCTTCTCCCTCTGGCAAGTGCTGCTGGTGGCTGGCCTTGTGGGCGTCGTGGCATTAGCTGAGCTTGAGGAGATGACAGGCAACTTCCGTCTGACCTTGACAGAAGCAGCCATGCTTGTCTTGGGTGCCTTGACAGCCGTTCTTGTCCACTGGCGACAGCAGGGCCACCCAGACTGCACTCAGCAACGATTCGCAGACATGCTGCACCATAGGCCATAGGCCACAGCCAAGTTGGGATACCCTGAATTCACCCTGAAACTACTTCTTGAACCCCCTTGAATCCTTTACATCCATATGTGAATTCAAGGGAAGCAGCAGACCGGAAAGCTGGACCTGGACCTGCAGGACTTCGCCAAACGAATGCAGAAGCTCAACCCGAATCCGAACCTTGGAGACCAAAAGGGGTCGACACCTCCATTCTGCGATTTAGGGTTGAGCTTTTTCTCCGCTGCTGACAGTGACTTGTTGGCTAAGCTGGCGTGGTTGCAGGTGAAACTTAGACGAGTGCCGAGGGCTTGTTCTCTCTACGGCAAGAAAGTCATTGGCTTGTCTTAGTCAAATTATTGATGCGTGCTGTTTCCCTTGGGCCTTGGGCCTACAGCAGCAGAAGAGAACAAAGTGAGCGTAAGCTCCACAGGCCTATATGCAAACACCACTGTGACTGTCGTGGAGGCTGTATTTCTTCAACGATTTATGGTCCATAAGAAAACCCTAAACCCTAAACCCTAAACCCTAACCCCTAACCCCTAACCCCTAACCCCTAAACCCTAAACCCTAAACCCTAAACCCTAAACCCTAAACCCTAAACCCTAAACCCTAAACCCTAAACCCTAAACCATGCTTTGGGAGATTCGAATTGAGATGGTGTGTGTTTCCGTAAGGAAGGCTTCAGACAGAGGAGCTTCGAGAGCTCTCAGTGCCAGTCAGCTGCTCGACTTCTACCATTCCTTTCAGGAGCACATCCTCAACAGACGCGTGGCCTTCATAAATTGAGGGTTTAGGGTTTAGGGTTTAGGGTTCAGGGTTTAGGGTATAGGGTCCAGGGGATTGTACTTGGTAGGATTGGTTCAATTTGGGCTTTTGCTTTGCAATCGAGTTCAGGAAACATGTACTACCTCTGCAGCAACATTGTCCAGCCTCTGACAAAGCCCTGGCAACTATCTTATGCTGACGTGGTTGGTCCGAGCAAGATGCAGTGGTTCGTGTCTCACTACTGGGGGACCCCCTTCGCACATTTTGTGGAGACCATACGCAAACATGCTGAGGGAAGCTTGGGTGCACGGGTGACCGAGTTGCGCTCGGTGACCTACTGGATTTGCACCTTCAGCAACAACCAGTGGAAAGTACAAGAAGAACTGGGTGAGACATGGGAGTTCTCATCCTTCTACCTGGCATTGCGTAGCGCCGGGTACAAAGGCACCGTCATGGTTCTAGATGAGGCGGTGCGACCTTTGACAAGGTCGTGGTGCCTGTTTGAGCTACTGCAGACAGCTACCCTAAGCAGGGAGAAGAAGCTTCAAGGGCTGTTTCTTGGCACGCCCTCTGGAATCATGAACCTTGGTCAATGCAACATGGACCTTGCGTTCACCATCAGCCAGAAGCTGTCGAGCCTTAAACTGCAAGATGCCAGCGCCAGCTCCCTGGACGCCTGGAGTCAGCCTTCATTAAGCAGCTTTTTTTGCTAGAACTGTAGTCTTCCCGAGCGAAAGGTTCCCGTCAAGGTTGGGGCATTTGTGTTCAAACCCCGGCTGAAGGAAGACAAGAAGATGATTGATGACTTGGTTCGGGCTCAACCAGGTGGCTTTGATCAGGTGAACAAGTTTCTCATCCAAGCAGTGAGTGAGGCGCTGGATGCAACTCAGACACGATCCTTTGTTGCCATCCTCCTTTCTGTGAGCGTTTCGGTGGTTTCGTGGTGCTTAAGGGGAGTGGAGGAGGCACTACCACAGGGCGGGGGAGTCTTGCAACCGAGGATTCCAAGCCGACCTGGCTACCTTGCAAAAAGGCCTCTCTGCCTACATCTGTGCGGAGAAGACGGAACCCGATTGATGCACGTCGATGAACTTCTTGCAACTCATCCAGAAGTGAGATGCCGGTGCCTGAGCGGAAGTGATGGGGAGCAAATTGCCCATGATCCCTACAGGATCCTCATTCCGAGTACCCATGCATATTCATGCCTGCACTCCTTCCAAGCACCAGTATGCCATGAATCCATGTTCGCAAGCGACTATCTGGAGGGCTCCCCATACTCTTGTCTTAGAGTCTGAGCGCTCGCACAAGGCATCATGTTGGTACAGAGCGGTTTCTTTCTCATCGGAATCCGATCGCAGACCCTTGAATGGAAATGTCAATGTCCTTGTCCGCAAGCCGAAGCAGACCCCACAACGTCCATCCCCTCAAGGACTCTCACTATTACCGTTCCAGTAATTTGGGGATTTCCGAAAATAGGGGTACCCTTCTTGGGGCTTCCTATAATAAGGATGATTGTATTTGGGGGGGTATTCAAGGGGTACCCCTACTTTGGGAAATGCCCATTTGCATCAGTGCAAGAATAAGGGCGATCATGCTACTGTCAGTGGCCTGAGAAAGCCAGGAAGCGGGTGAGATGTGCAACCTCATACACATAGAGGCATTAGCCTGCTTGGCGAATCATGGCGCCAAGCCTTTCAAATATGGGTCCTGAGGTGATAATTCATGAGCCGAAAGCTACTCTGCTTCAGTGCAGAAAGAAGCTGACGGCTTGTCAATCTTCATTGTTTGTTCCGAGCAGGGTTCCTAGATTCCCCTGCGAAACGGCGAAGAGTGGGTGCAGGTGTCACACATATGATTCATATGATACCTGCTTTTGAAACCGCTAGGATGCCTGGACTCTGCTGCAGAAGTCAGCACAGCATATGCCTAACAAGGGCAAAATAGCCACAGCAGACAGAAAACAGGCTGCAAGATGGGCACAGCGATGCCGTGCAACTGAAGTGGTGCATGTCTGGACTCACAGCAACCTCGGCGCACGATATCAACATCCGGGTGTACCGCTCCTTCAAGGGCACGGTCAACCGGTCAACCGAGGGGGCCGCAGGCCTACGGGTATGCAAGAAGTGGGGGAGTTCAGAGGGTTGAGGGAGCATGTAGAGGTTTGTTTGTGGCATCCTTCTTCTGAGTTCCTTTGTCTCTCACAGCGGTCAGAAGCCGCTGGGCCAAGTTTATGCTGAGGAACCCTCCTGCATCATGTGGCTCAAGTTTTCCGACTCTTTCCACAAAAGCCTGCCCTATGCTATGAAAACCATCGCAGCATGGCTGATTCTGGTTTGCCCGTCCACAGCTGCCTGGTGTCGACCCAAGGCGGGCTTTTGTGAGGGCAATCTGCAGGAAAGGAGTCAAGCCCTGCTGCTTTCAGTGGAATCAGGCAGAGGAGCCGCATGGCCACAGGTGGTTGATTGGGATGGAGATGGTCAAATGGAACTGCTGCTCCTAGTAAGGGACGCGGCGCCCGATAGTGAGAGGCTTGCCCTATGTCACTTGAAATACTTTCGGCAGGTGAGTGGGGAGCTGGTCGAGCAAGTCGGCTCAGATAACCCGTTCAGGGAGGTGTCATTTCCAGCTTACAACAGTTATTCGCTTCCGGCACCTTGTTTTGCAGTCACAGACTGGGATGGAGACGGCGATCTGGATTTGTTGCTGCAAGATTTGTGGGGTGTCTGGTTCATGGACTTTGACACAATGGGCAAGCTCCGCAACAATTCGGCAGTCCGGGCAGTTGATGAACAGGGCCAATCCATGTCGCTGGCACGCCAGGGGCGCTTCATCTTTTTCCCAAGCGATTGGGACACTGATGGGGATCTTGACCTGTGGGCGGTGGATGGTGTGAATGGACGCCACGAAAACGAGTTTGTGTTTTTCGAGCGCAAGAACCAATCCACGCTGATGAAGGTGGGGAGTCCCCTGGCAGGATTCAAACCCTGGAGGCTGGGCGCTAGAGAAGTTCTGAGCTTGGCAGTGGCTGACTGGGATGGTGATGGCGCTTCAGATGTGATTTTGACAAGAGAATGCGAGATTGATTGCTTGCCCCCCATGGCTGCCTACCTCCACCAAACAGCTGATGGGAATTTTGAAGATTGGAGCCACACTGCCGCGAGCCCCTTCGCAGACATCGGTGGTTGGGAACTCGAAAATCCGGTGGCCGCCGTGGCTGATTGGGATGGGGATGGGGCGCTGGACATCATCCTTGTCACCAGGAAAGGGACGGTACACTTGTTCTCGTGGCAATTCACTGGGGAGTTGGTCGAAAGAACCAATGACATCTCGATGTTCCACATTGTGCGCAACATGGCGCACCCTGCGGTCATCGACTGGGACGGGGATGGTGATCTCGACTTCGTCCTTGGTTCCAAATATGGTCATGTTGAAGTCTTTCTGCGCAAAGATGATGGCAGTCTTGAAGAAGGAGAAAAGGTATTGTCAGTGCAGCAGCATGCGCACGTGACAGCGAACCTGCCACAGGACACAGCGAGGCCGATCGCGATAGATTGGAACGGGGATGGACGAGCTGACTTACTTGTTCCTTCCACTATGGCAGAGGAGGAGGAGACCGATTTGGTGTACTTCGAGCGTACGGCCCGTGGGGGCTTGCAGTACAAATTCAAGGTCAGGCCATCTCGAGGATACTTTTTTGCAGCCGTTGTTGCAGATTGGGATGGAGATGGTGATTTGGACATCCTCTTCGCCTGTAGTGATGACGTATTCAAATCTAAGGTGCAATGGCAGCTCTATCAGCAGCTGCCTGATGGTTCGTTGGTTGAGGGCTCCTCCCCTGTGAATGACCTGCATGATCTCAAATATGACCTTCAAACTGTTCGCTTGCAAGCGATTGATCTCGATTCGGATGGAAGAAGCGACTTGCTCATGGCAGACACTGGGAAATGGCGCTTCTTCCATGCGCAAGCAGATTTTCGGTTAGTGGAAGCAAATGCAACGTTGTTCTTGCCAAAGTTTCCAGAATTGGGGAACTATTGGCTTACGTCCTTCTTTTTTGCCGACTGGGATTCAGATGGTGACCTGGACCTGATAACAGCCCCGGGTTCCAGGGACCATGGCCCTGTTCGTCATTTTGACAATGGCTATTGTCCTCTGCATCAAGCATGCGGCAGTCACGGATCCTGCAGCCCAGTCTCAGGGAGGTGCCGATGTTTCTCTGCCTATGCCTTGGCTGATTGTTCAGGTTGCAGCAAAGGTTACTTTGATGCTGACAAGCTCAATGTCTCAGTGCCGGCAAAGAACTTGGTTCGACGCTGCTCTGCTTGCCCGGGTGTGCCTGATTCTGTGCCATGCTCTGGACGGGGGACCTGTAACGATGACGCGCGCGTGCGGGAACAACTCCTCACCATCTCTGAAAACAGGTCGCTCTACCACTACCACGGCGATGGCATTTGCAATTGTGGATCTCCGTTCAGTGGTGAGAGGTGTGAAACGGGTTTGTGCAGCCCGGGACAGAAATACGTGCAGGGCTCCCTTTGGCATTGCGAGCCTTGCATGCCAGGCTCCTTTGTTGCAGACACTGGACTTCAGGGCTATTGCAACCTTTGCACCGGGAACACCTATGCCCCTACAGCAGGAAGTAGCCAGTGCCTACCCTGCGAAGGCAAGTGGTGGCGCTCCGAGGCCAACGCGGACAACACAGCCTGCAGCGCATCCTTCCTCAATGTGCCCACATGCGCTGTTTTCCTGTTGCTCTCCTCTGCGCTTTGTGCTGTGCTTCCTCACCTTGTCAATCGCCCTATGACCATAGATGATGTGGGTCTGAAAGATGGCAAAGTTCTTTTGAGCATCTGCGGACGTCACTGGCTTCTGAAGACATGCAGCGTCACTTTCAGAGACACCGGGCACCCAATGTTGGACTCTCAGAAGTTTTTGGCTAAACCTCACAATGAGCGCCAGCTTGTTCTTTGTGACCTGCTTGGTGTACCTTTGACCATCCAGGTCGACACGTCCCAGGGCTTGTGTAATCTTCGTTGGACCGACAGTCTCTTCAGGAAAGGACTTCTCAGCACCCCCTTTTCCCTCTGCTTTGTCTTGCTCATGTCTGCTATGACGGCAGCTTTTCTCTTGGTACATGCAGTCTTCTCAAATTCTGGCATTTCTGGCCTGGAGGCCCTCATGATCCTGGCAGGTGGGTTGGTGGCTGCGGTCGTTCATTGGTGGATTCATCCTGGCAAACGCTCCATCCTCCGAGATTTAGACCGGTTCGCTGCCCGACTGAAGCCACAAGTTCGTCCTGCGATGTGCCAGAGGGGCCCAGACCGGGCACTTCGCTTGGGCCAGCTGCAAGATCTCTATGACGCTCGGCTGCGCAAGCGCTGTAATCTTGTATCTCCAGGATTTCTCTTGAGGTCCTGTTGACATTTTTGACCAAGAAGCAATTTGTAGCTTCTGGTGACATGGCAAACTTAGCACCTGCCCAGGAATTCTTCAGCCTTTACATTCGTGACAGAAATATGTACTACCTGTGCAGCAACATTGTGAAGCCATTGACATTCGCGGACAAGCTTTCTTATGCGGAGCTGGTGGGCCCATCCTCCGTGCAGTGGTTTTGTTCCCACTTTTGGGGGATGCCCTTCTTACATTTCATAGACTGCCTAAAGGGACATGCTGCCACTGAGATTTGGATCTGCACCTTCTCAAACAACCAGTGGAAAGTGGCAGAGGAGTTGGGTAGTCAAGTTGAAGATTCCTCGTTTTACTTAGCGTTGCACGGGAGCACCTGTTGCGGCACGCTCTTCGTGTTGGACGAGAAGGCCTTGCCCCTCACAAGGCTGGGTGCTGCAGAACACATGACGATGGGAAACCCCTGCAGTTTGACAATTCAGGAACGTTGCAAGCAGGTTACAACACCCTTTCCTCAGGTGTTCCTTCAAACCAGCACGTTGATGGTTTTTATTTTCAGATCCACATTGCAGGTCCTGGTGCCTTTTTGAACTCTACCAATCAGCGCTACTTTACCATTCAGGCGGGCCGTTTCAAGGAATTCTGCTGGGAACTTCCACCGGCGTGATGAACTACGGCCAGAGCAGCTTGGATTTGGCCCTGAAGCTTTGCAAGACCCTTTCCACTCTCCGTTTGCAAGATGCAACGGCCAGCTGTGACAAGGACAAGCGCATGATTGATGAGGCTGTGTCCAGTCATCCGGGAGGTTTTCAGGCCGTGACTTGGTGTACTGGACGTAGATCCTTGCATCGCCTATAGACTATATAATAGTGCCACCTCTTCCAGACTTGACGCTCGTGATCTTCTATAGTACTACATAGTACAGGTCGTGGTTCGGGTGTGTCTGCAGTTCGCGCGGGTTTCAGAGCGTCGATGCTGACTTTCGAAAATTCTTTGTAAATTTGCCTGTTGAGTAAGGCGGCCTCATGGTGTAGTTATTCAGCCTGCTCTCGTTTGCCCCCACGCAACAAAGCGCCGGCCGCATTTCTTCCAAGGTGAATGCCTTTCTCATCGACGCAGTCAAGAGCGCTCTTCAGCAAACGGAGACGCGCTTTAAAGAGGATTTTGCACAGCTCCAGCAGGATCTCGCTCAGTCTTGGCCTCAGGAAACAGAGGCATCGCCTGAGGAAACAGAGCCATCGCGCACGGAAATGTCAACCGACCCAGATTTTTCCAATCCAACGATGCTGGTCAGATTTCTTCATGCCGTATGGAGAAACTAGGATGTGGCTCTTAGGACTGTCCATGTTGGTGCAGTCGCTCCATGTCCAACGACAGCAACAGCTTTTAACCACTTTGCAAAGCCACATTCTCAGAAGCAGAATGCTGGGTCAGGTGGCCTTCGTGCATATGCACCTGGCACGACCTTGGTATGCAAAGACAATCCCTAACTTTTGATCTGTGGGTGGGTCGAAATTTGTGGGTCCTTGATTGTAATAATATCTTCCTTACAATTTCGGGCAGCAAAAGGCCCATAATTTGACCCACCCCATCAGAGTTTTGTTAATTCAAGATGTTGCATACTTTTAATGTTAGGATTGATTGGTGCTTTTGGGAGCAAGAGTCTCTTGCACCGATCCTTCTTGGTCTTGGGGGATGAGAGATCTCCGAGAAACTTTTCCGGCAGACAAGTTGTCGGAGTTGCTGGGCTTCCCGGGCCTTCAGATAGAGAACCTCGCAAGCGAGCGCTGGCCGTCAGATTTCCTTGACCAGCGGATTTGTCGGTGTCCATGGCAAGCCCTGCAGCGTTGGCCACCTTCATGGAGGGCAAAGAGCACTGTCAGAGACGGTGGGCCGATTTGTGTTAGTAAAATCCGACGCAATTAGCCCATGCTAAAGGCTGTCCGATTCTGAAATCTTTACATGCAGCGAGTTCAGCAGATTGGGCCTTTGCGATGCAAGAATCAGGAGAAAGATGGTCATTGAATCCTCAATGGCCATGCATCAGCTGCTTTGTTCAACGAGCGCATCGGCGTAACAAGGGGACAGGAGAGTTCTCAAACATGTTGTTCTGCGCCCCCAGCTGATGCTTCCGGAGGAATGCCAGGCCACACCTTCGGCTCCAAGCTTCCGGCTATCTTTTAATGCATTTTTGGTTTTACTTTGCACCGCATTCGTGGATCATGGCGATCATGAAGCTCTTTCTTCTGGCGCTTGTTACAGCCCGTGGAGAGAGTGGCTCCAATAGCCGCTTCTTGCCCAAGAAGGCTGATATGGCAAAGAACGAGAGCAACACAAGTGACATCAGCCTCGTTGCAATCATTGAGGCTCTCATGCAAGAAGGCAGTTCGAAGATTGACAGCTTCAATGGAACCAAAGCCGGCTGCCCCTCGAATCCGAAACCTGGATCGGTGTATCAACCCTATCTCCTTTGCTGCAAGGACTGCGGCGCCTTTTACCGCACCTGCAAGTCGCTCAACAAGCCGGAATGTTCATGCGCCTTCGAAGCAGGTCGTTGCGCGCTCTCGTGCTTTTTCACCGATTACCAGGATACCAAGGAAGTATGCCAGAGGAAATGCAAGGAGTATGGGAGCTTTTGCACAGCGGCCAAGTTGAGTCGCTGTGAAGAAGCAAAGTTATGGCTTTTGTCAAAGTGCCCTGCCTAGGCTACCATCCCGATTTTTTAGCAGGGGGTCACAAGCACACCTTGTAGTCTTGGGCAAATTTGATTTTGAGGCCTTCCAAGCCGGAGCCAAACAAATCAGTGGAAGGATCGTGCCAAGACGACAAAACACCTACGCAAGGCCGTTGTACGCAATTCTGAGATTTCGTACCTTTGTTACACCAAAGACATGAAGATTATGATTTGAACTATTGATGAACCGCTTTTGGAGAAATACTAGGGGGAAGAATAGGAGGAATAACAGGAGGAATGGCATGAATGATAGGAGGAATGATAGGATATATGATAGGATGAATGAGAGGAGGAAGAACAAGATGAATGACAAGAGGAATGATAGGAGGAACAATATTCCTAATCTCACCTAAAGATATCTCATCAGGAAATAGGACAATAGGATTAATTAAGAAAGAGGATTTTCTATTGACGTTGGCCAGGCCTCAGTTGGGGTGGGGGCCAGTGGTAACGAACGCCGAGGGAATGTGAGAGTGCTCTCCAACTTGTATAATTTCAGTAATCTTGTACTAAGAGCTTGTTTACCATTGATTCTAAAAGCATTATGGATATTATCATCAGCCCTGAAGCTCAGCTGCGCAGCCATTTAGGCTTGTAGGCTGCTTTAGTCGTTTTAGTCTCCTGTTGTGGTCCGAGTCGGCGTGGCAGCATGGTGCTGCTGCGGTGCGCCCCCTTCATGGTCCTGCGGGCTGTCGCCTTCGTGTCGCCTGCCGTTTTGCCTCCACAATCCTTGTTGCACACCAACAGCAGCTGCCCACAAGGTTTCAAGGCGGGCCTGCAGAGTCTGTTTTCTCAATTCAGGCGGGAGTCTCACGGGAGTGTCGGGGTGAGGCGTGCGGGCACTGCCAATGCGTGCCGGAGGCAGATTGCGATGCTTGTCGAGGCGCGGCACGGCTTCCGAAGTGTACATGTCGAATAGAGTCACGTGGCCTCTTTACCCGTGTCGGACTGCCCTGAACTGGTATGGACAGGCCCCATGGTGCACGATGTGCACGCCAGGAACAGCACGAAGGTCAGCAGCAAGATGGAGGGCTGCCCGCCAGAAAATGTCGACTGCGGCAACTACACCTGTGTACCCCCTACCATGTGCCTTGTCCTGTCTTGGCTTTTGGCCTCGATTGAAATAGCAGGGAGGAGTAGGGAGGATTGCGCTGGGAGTACTCAATTCTGCCAGAATGCTCAAGACGTGCGTACCTGTCCCGGCTCTTCGCTAAGGGGTTGCTGATTCAAGACATCTTAGTAGTGCCCATGATCCAAACGTCCTAGCTGCCAAATAAAGGACAGTTCTCCCATGAACGCATCATCTGCCCGGACATTCTTTACAGCTCAGGTGCGCGGAGAAAGGTCTTCTTGAGGCGCATGCAGCTCTCTGCGAAGCGTCAGCAGCAAAGCTCACATCCAACTCTAAGTCTCTCTCTTTCTCTCTCACTTCGTGACTACCGCTGAGAGCTCTAAGAAGATAGAGAAGGAGGTCTATTTGTTTTAGTTTTTTTTGTTTTTTTTTGGGTGTTTTTTTGTCCTTGCTACTGGTAAGCCCTAAACCCAAAACCCAAAACCCTAAACCCTAAACCCTAAACCCTAAACCCTAAACCCTAAACCCTAAACCCTAAACCCTAAACCCTAAACCCTAAACACTCTCTATCCTATGTATATTTAATGGCTAATGGCTTCCCGGTTTTTCCACAAAAAAATACCGTTTTTCCACAATAAAACCCGGTTTTCCACAAAACAATACCGGTTTTCCACAAAAAAATCCCGGTTTTCCACCAAAAAATCCCGGTTGTTCCATAAAAAAAACTCCCGGTTTTCCATAAATCCCGGTTTTCCACCAAAAAATCACGGTTTTTCTACTAAAACTTCCCGGTTTTTCCACCAAAAATTCCCGGTTTTTCCGCTAAAAATTCCCGGTTTTTCCGCTAAAAATTCCCGGTTTTTCCACCAAAAACTCCCGGTTTTGCACAAAAAATCTAGGTTTTCCACCAAAAATTACCGGTTTTCCACCAAAAAAATACCGGTTTTCCACAAAAAAACACGGTTTTTCCATAAAAAAACTCCCGGTTTTCCACCAAAAATTCCCGGTTGTTCCATAAAAAAACTCCCGGTTTTCCACAAAAAAACTCCCGGTTTTCCACAAAAAACCCGGTTTTTCCACCAAAACTTCCCGGTTTTCCACCAAGTTTTCCCGGTTTTCCACCAAAATTTACCGGTTGCTCGGGGGGCCTACTCTGGGCTGGCTTTAGGGTTTAGGGCCTACTCTGGGCAGGCTTTAGGGTTTAGGGCCTACTCGGTACTGGCTTTAGGGTTTAGGGCCTACTCTGGGCTGGCTTTAGGGTTTAGGGCCTAGTCTGGGCTGGCTTCTGGGCTGGCTTTAGGGTTTAGGGCCTACTCTGGGCTGGCTTTAGGGTTTAGGGCCTACTCGGGGCTGGTTTTATTGAGGTTAGGCCCTGCTCTGGGCTGCCTTTAGGGTTTAGGGCCGACCCTGGGCGGCAGCCGACTGAACCAAAAATTTTAAGATTAAAACATAAAGTAAAATATTTTCATAATGTTATGGGATCCAATGGGTGGGTGGGTCGATATTCGATACCGGAGTAAGGAGCTCTACTAGTGAAATGCTTGGACTTGAGATGCTGAACCCTAAACCCTAAACCCTAACCCTAAACCCTGAACCCTGAACCCTAAACCCTAAACCCTGAACCCTAAACCCTAAACCCTAAAGCCGAAAAAAACAAACTCCCCCCAAAAAAAACAAAAAATCCTAATTTAATTCTCCGGCCGATGTAGAGAATGCAGACGCGCTGGGCTGTTCCCTGTTGCAGGCAGAAAGCACTGCGAGAAGATCCAAGGTCCCCGGCTGTCCGGAAGACTTCACGGACTGCGGCATCTGTGCGTGCGTTCCGGGCAACGTCTGCAGCCGCTGTCCCAGAATCATCGCCTTTTCCTTCACCGCTGGCACATCATCGGCCATGCCCAACGAGACGTACAACGAGTCCGGCCTGCAGGACACTTGGGATCCAGCCCTCTCTGCTGAGCCTGCTGAGGCTGGACGTGGGGCAGCATGCGGTCGACCTACCATAGTGCCCGCGCACCTACCGTGGTGTTAATTGCTCATCATCTATATACTGGTTCAGCACCTTCCTGGAACAAAAAACCCTGTCACCCGTGTTGTACTCCCAACCTCCCCCAGGATCGTATCTGGAGCCAGGATGGCACGGCAAGGCCAGTGAGCTGGTCGCGGTACACCTCCACCTTCCCATTCTTGGTGGCACTCAAAGCAATCAACAGATGGGGTGGCCGCTATCACCTCTGTGGGGGGACATTGATTCGAGAAACGCATGTGCTCACAGCTGCACATTGCTTCCGCAAAAACGGCGGCTGGGACAAGAATCCCGAGGACATCGAGGTCTGGTGGGGACATGGGAACAACGATTGGATTAGTTCGAAGGTCGACCTCATTGTCACGCCAGCACTCTTCAATGAACAGCAATCCTGGGATCATGATGTCGCAGTTCTTCGCTTGAGCCGACGCTTTGCGGGTGCTCCGCGCGTGCGCCTGTCACATCGGTCCTCCTATGCACTGGGCTCTGGAGCGTTGATCGCTGGATGGGGCATGGTAGATGAAGCCATGACTAACATGCCGATCGACAAGTTAAAGGAAGCCCAGAAGAACATTGCCGCTACGTCTCATTGTCACAGGTTTGACTCGAAATTCCAAGGGCAGAACATCATCTGCACTACGTCCTGGAAGTCAGGTATCGGAAAAGGCGACAGCGGTGGGCCAATGCTGCAAAACGGCTATCAAATCGGCATCTGCTCCCATCATTTCCGTCGCAGCGGCTTCTCTTACTTTGATGCCTTCACCCGCGTGTCAAGTTACACTGATTGGATCGATGGTGTACTGTCCCATCATCCGTAAGCTAGTAAGTCACTCCACCGTGGGCCTCATGCAGAATGAAGATCTGCGAGCAGGCCAGTGGTTCAACTCCTCGTACTCATGCACGTTGCCCCTTTGCCCGGCATGGGGCCGAACCTTTTCCATCCATGAGTACCGAGGCAATCCAATTTTGAGTCTAATTCGGGTTCTCTTGGGTCAGGAATGCTGGCCAAATCACCACGGCGCCCCCAGAAGAGTTTTTCAAAGAGTTTTGCTGAACCAGTCGCCCAGTTGAACGGGCGCGGGAAAGGAGGTGCCAGTGCTCCACAAGTGAGCTACCGCCCGGGCGCCTAGACCATGGATGCAGTCAGACAGCCAGTTGGGCTCGGAAAACGTCTGCCTGTGACGATGTGCGTGTCGGAGGGGCTTAGGACAATTCACATAACCCTAAACCCTAAACCCTAAACCCTAAACCCTAAACCCTAAACCCTAAACCCTAAGATTCAGCCCGTGCAGTCTGGCCATGCCTGTGCCGAAGCTCAGCTCACGCAGCCATTTGGGGGCTGTTTCGCTCGTGGGGTCTATCTGCGCACTTAAGCACTCTTCAAGAGGGCGCTTTGTATCTCCATGTCTATATATCGCTTTTTGTATGCAAGGCAGGTCTAGCTGTCAAGCGAGCTTGGTTGCTTCGTAGGTCACAGGCTACCGAATAGGCATCCAACGACACAGTTGCTTAAACGTATTTCGTTCTGATGCAACCGCTCTCAGCGTATGGGGCTGTTCAGAGCCGTCCTTTTCATCGTGGTGGTCCAGGGGTTCGATGAGTGGTGTCGACCTTCCACGAGTTCTTGCCACGGACGGCGCCAGAGTTTCAATGTATCCAAGTTGATTCATCTGGACTTCACAGCCATAGCAGTACCCTGGAACGCAAGAAAGCGGTTCATTGTTGTTCCACAAGCAAGCAACTTTTCACAGCTGAGGATCGGGATGTGTGTTAACAGCGATAGTTCTGGTAAGTTCTGGTGGTTGGGGTTCCTTAAGGTCGAGGCCGCAGACTGGGATGGGGATGGTGATCTTGATCTTGTCGTCGCGCGTCAGACTGGTCAAGATATCGGCAGCTTCCATCTTTTGGAGCAGGTGGGGGGCACCTTTGAGATCCAAAATGGAAGCCGGGACCCTTTTCAGCAGATCACGCCGCAAACCAACTTCTGGTGGAAGAAGGCCTTTGCTGCTGCAGACTGGGATCTTGATGGTGACGTCGACCTTCTTGTGCAGAAGGATGGTTTCGTGCACTTCCTGGAGAGGCTTGCAGAAACCCTAAACCCTAAACCCTAAACCCTAAACCCTAACCCCTAAACCCTAAACCCTAAACCCTAAACCCTAAACCCTAAACCCTAAACCCTAAACCCTAAACCCCAAGAGGCTTGCGGATGGAAGCTTGGGTCACCCTCAAGCCTTCCTGGAGACCTTCGATGCCGAAAGCTTGGGCTCCATGGGTCAAAGGGCCCTGGCGCTCGGCGACTTTGATCAGGATGGTTGTCAAAATTCCGGTCCCGTTTTGGGTACCCTAAATATAAGGTGCCGTATTGCAATAGGTACGCTAAATATTAGGTGCTGTAGTATAATGGGGACCCCAAAAAGGGACCGTAATTTTGACAACCACCCACCAGGATGGCGACCTCGATCTTCTGCTCGAAGGGCCCGACTACGGTATCAGGCGCCTGGTATTAGAGTTAAAAAAATGTCTGAAAGGCTATGTATTTAGAGTTAAGATATCTGAAAGGCTATGAACCTGACATAGCTGTGGTCTCTCATGGACTGCCCCATATGAAGAGAGGGTTCTGGGTCCTAAGCCGCCCAGGTACTTTGAGCACTTGGCTGACGGGAACGTTTCCGAGCGCACGGGCATGAAGCACTTGTTCCAAGGTTTGAGGCCGTTCATGAACAACCCAGGAGAGGCTTGCAAAAAAATGGAAGGTTCCCTTTTATGGGACGTACTGATGTATTTATATTGCCCTAAGGGTCCATGTACCTCATTATCATATACTTGGGCCCCAAAGTCCCTATATATGCAGTACTTTAAGGCCCATGTGTTCCCTATTTAGGTACGTGGACCCTTAGGGTTGTATAGGGTTGTATAGACTGTTTGAAGTGCAAGAGTCAAGGGACTAAAGGAGGGACCCTTAGAAAGGACCTTAACTGTAATGTAGGGGCTCATTAGGGGCTACTTAGGTATATAGGGACTATATAAGGCACATATATATATATATATTTATGTTAAGAGGGATATATATAGGGGAATAAGATTAAGGGTGCCTTCTAGGGGCCCCTCCTGCTACCCCTTAGAAGGCCTTTCCTTTGAGAAGCCCCTGAAGGTGTTCTGCAGCCAGTGGATTGGAATGGAGACGGCCTGCTTGACCTCATCGTCAAGAATGTAGGCTGGGACCACGGCCCGACTGAAAATCTCTTGTTCTTTGAGCACACCTTGGATGGAAGCTTCATGCATCGTCAGGGAAATTTCCCCCACTTCAGCAACCAATCATTTACAAGCGCCGACTGGAACGGGGACGGCCTGCAGGATATGTTGGTCAGCAACGAGGATGGCTCAATCCAGCTTGTCTCCAGCATGCTCGACTCGAGATTCTTTGAGAGGACGAAGTCGGAGTCGGTCTTCAGTGCCGTGCGCATCGAGTGGTCGAAAATCGATCCATCTTTAGTGGACTGGAATGGAGATGGTCTCCTCGACTTGGTCTTGACGTCCCCACACAAAGAATATGGCACCAGGGTTCTGGAGGGATCCGCAAGTGGACTTCATGAAGTGGAGCCACCTCCCCTGGAGCACACCTTCGAAGGCTTGGCCCATACGAAGCTCCTAGATGTGAACGGCGATGGGCGCACCGACGCAGTTGGCTGTGTCGGGGGAGCAGGCGGTTGTGACGTGGGTGTCCGCCCTTTCTCATTGGTGTACTTTGAGCGATTGCAGAACGGATCGCTGCAACAGAAAGCCGGGAAAGCTAATCCCTTCTGGAAGCTCAACGAGGGTTTTCGTGAAAGTGGTCTTGGAGGGGACGATTTTGAGCTGGCAGATTTGGATTACGATGGTGACCTGGACCTGGTAGTCTGCACAGATACCTCCCTTCTCTTCTTCGAGCAGACGTCCAGCGAGTGGCTTGCAAGAGAAGCTCTTCCAGTCAGTCTCAGCGGCTACAAGTGTGCCTTGCGTGCTTTCGACTACAATGGCGACATGCGGATGGATCTCCTCCTCGGAACTGATGACCGGCTGTTAGTGTTGGAAGGACTAGGAAGCTTCCGACTGAGGGAACTGCCACAGAGTGAGAATCCGTTCCGAGACATCGAACTCAATTGCTATTTGTCAATTGGTTTGGCAGTTGGGGACTGGAATGGAGATGGCATTGCAGACGTTCTTGTTTCGGAGGCCAACCCGGACTGGAAGGGCCTCCGTTTCTTCGAGAAGGGCTTCTGCACCAAGCGCGAGACCTGCAGCGGCAGAGGGTTTTGCAATCCCTCTTTGGGTAAATGCGAGTGCTTGTCTGGACACCAGGGGTCAATAACCGCAGTGCCCGTTTATTTCCTGACTCTTCCTCATTAAGTGGTTGACTTTTCTCAAGAGCCGGCTGATTGCAATGCTCACAACCAAACCCACTGACGCTGCAGGATACCAGTTCCTGGATTGCTCGGGCTGCGCGGCTGATTTCTACCGGGCCGAGACCAGGAACATCTATTCGAGAAGCCTGGATGTACTCTCCAGCTGTGAGCCATGTCCTGGGCGATCCCCTAGCGGTACCAGCAACCTGTTTGTGTATCCAGCTGGCGTTAAGAAGCGGATAACAGTTGCCCCCCCCCCCCATCTTACCCCCCTTGATGACACATTCCCTAAACCTCAATGACAGATTGCAGGCAAAGCTTACCATTTCTGGGCGAGGGATGTTTGAAGGGATCAGTTCTCACCATCTGCTTCCTGAACAGTGTGCACTCTTCATCCCAGGCAATGTTTGCTCAACACGGGGCAAGTGCCATGATGATGACCTGGCCCGCACCGAAAGTGCACAACACGGCAATGGGAGCTGCTTGTGCCAGGAGCCTTTCTTTGGCGCAAACTGTGAATTAGGAGGCTGTCCGGCAGGATATGAATACGTGCAACGCAAGCATTGGACCTGCGTGGCATGTCAGAAGGGATGGTACAAGCAGGCTGTTGGGAACAATGTTCCTTGCAGTCCCTGCCAAGCAAACCGTTTCATGCCTGTTTTGGGCGGTGCTTCTTGCCTTCGGTGCGAAGACATGTGGCTTCGGGTGCAGGTCAACAAGGAGAAGACAGCATGCACGCGCGCGATGGTCAATGTTCTGGCAATACCGACGGCATTCATCTTAGCAGCTGGGTTTTTTGTGATGCTCCCATATGTGAGTGGCCTCCCTTTGGCAGTGCGGGATGTGCGGCTGGGCCAGGAAGGTGTGATGGTGACCACGAAAGTGCGGCACTGGATGCTGAGTGGCAAGCGAAAGATGCACTTGAGGTGCATGGCTCATCCGGATCGTTTGGTGTTTGGGTGCAATGTATAGTGTGCACAATGCATGATCTGCGCGCACACACACATTCTATTTGATATATACCTATCTAGTTCTTCATCTGTCTATCCATCCATCTATTTCTCTCTCTCTCTCTCTCTCTTTCTCTCTCTCTCTCTCTCTTGCTCTCCCTCTCCCTCTCCCTCTCCCTGTCGCGCTCTCTCTCTCTCTCTCTTTTTATATGTCTCTCTGTCTATCTATCCATCCATCCATTCTGCATGCAGTGGGTGGCTATGGCGTCTGGAGTACATTTCTCAGGTCATGACGTCTTCTCAAAAACTGACCGCTCCCCATAGACAAGCAACGGGGCTCCATCCACTCCAACCCTACACCCTAAACCCTCAACCCTAAACGCTAAACCCCAAACCCTAAACCCTTTCACTCCCTTCCATTGCGTAAACCCTAAACCCTAAACCCTAGACCCAATGGTGTGTGCCTCATTGCACCGGTCGAACCTCACCCCAAGTAGAGCTACCATGGGGCCTTGAGACCGGTATGGCTATTTCGCCAAATAGGGGTAAGATATGTATATCTATCTATGTTTATATACATATAAACATATATACGTATTTAGGGTTTAAAGGTTATGGTTTAGGGTCAAGGGTTTAGGGTTTGGGGTTTAGCTGCATGTCCCAAAATAAGGGTACCCCGATATACTCCCGAAATACTACAACCCTTATTCTAGGAACCCCCAATCACAAGTAGGGCCTTTTAGGGCAGGCACTTGCAGTTCTGCCGAGATGGCTAGCAACATGCATGCTTCAGGGCACCCCTCCCTATTTTGTGGGAAACCCCCATATTATCCTAATGGGGATTCGGTGCATTAGGGTTTGCAGGTTCTGCCCACTCCTTACTTGGCTGCTGATCGAAACCCCGACAATGGCCGCGCCGTACAAGTCTGCGTCACCAGCTGGGCTCCACTAGTTGCACACAGTTCTCCCCAGTTGGGCTCCACTAGTTGCATTGACTCCCAGTTCCCTCGAGCTAGACCTTTCGCATCGATCGTCTTAGGGTCATCGGAAAAGCTGCTGCGCACCTTGTGCATCCAACACTGTTTCGGAGGAAGGGCCGTGGCTTGTAGAATGCTAGAATACACTCGCAGCCTGAGTTTAACCAGGTTTGAGCAGACTGGCCACCCTCTCTTGGACGGACAAGAATTTCGAGTTCAGATTTGGAATGATATTCAGTTCCTTGGAATCCAAACAACGGGTGTCCCAAACAACCAAGTCCTTTTCAGGTTGGGATCCTAGTGAACTGATTGCTTGGGAGCAGCTTGCTGTCCGACTGTTTGAATGCAAAGGTTCTTGCTTCTGGACGTCAAAGACGATGTTGCTCTGAGCAAGGACATCGAGACTTCGAGGGGCACAGGGCATCTGAAACACCGCGACTCGGTGTTCGGTAGAGGCATCATGATCCCCTTCTCCCTCTGGCAAGTGCTGCTGGTGGCTGGCCTTGTGGGCGTCGTGGCATTAGCTGAGCTTGAGGAGATGACAGGCAACTTCCGTCTGACCTTGACAGAAGCAGCCATGCTTGTCTTGGGTGCCTTGACAGCCGTTCTTGTCCACTGGCGACAGCAGGGCCACCCAGACTGCACTCAGCAACGATTCGCAGACATGCTGCACCATAGGCCATAGGCCACAGCCAAGTTGGTGAATTCTGAATTCACCCTGAAACTACTTCTTGAATCCCCTCGAATCCTTTTAATCCATACTTTAATCTTTAATCCAAGGGAAGCAGCAGACCGGAAAGCTGGACCTGGACCTGCAGGACTTCGCCAAACGAATGCAGAAGCTCAACCCGAACCCGAACCTTGGAGACCAAAAGGGGCCGACACCTCCTTTCGGCGATTTAGGGTTGAGTTCTTTCTCCGCTGCTGACAGTGACTTGTTGGCTAAGCTGGCGTGGTTGCAGGTGAAACTTAGACGAGTGCGGAGGGCTTTTTCTCTCTACGGCAAGAAAGTCATTGGCTTGTCTTAGTCAAATTATTGATGCGTGCTGTTTCCCTTGGGCCTTGGGCCTACAGCAGCAGAAGAGAACAAAGTGAGCGTAAGCTCCACAGGCCTATATGCAAACACCACTGTGGCTGTCGTGGAGGCTGTATTTCTTCAACGATTTATGGTCCATAAGAAAACCCTAAACCCTAAACCCTAAACCCTAAACCCTAAACCCTAAATCCTAAACCCTAAACCCTAAACCCTAAACCCTAAAACCCTAAACCATGCTTTGGGAGATTCGAATTGGATGGTGTGTGTTCCGTAAGGAAGGCTTCAGACAGAGGAGCTTCGAGAGCTCTCAGTGCCAGTCAGCTGCTCGACTTCTACCATTCCTTTCAGGAGCACATCCTCAACAGATGCGTGGCCTTCATAAGTTGAGGGTTTAGGGTTTAGGGTTTAGGGTTTAGGGTTTAGGGTTCAGGGTTCAGGGTTTAGGGTATAGGGTCCAGGGGATTGTACTTGGTAGGATTGGTTCAATTTGGGCTTTTGCTTTGCAATCGAGCTCAGGAAACATGTACTACCTCTGCAGCAACATTGTCCAGCCTCTTACAAAGCCCTGGCAACTATCTTATGCTGACGTGGTTGGTCCGAGCAAGATGCAGTGGTTCGTGTCTCACTACTGGGGGACCCCCTTCGCACATTTTGTGGAGACCATACGCAAACATGCTGAGGGAAGCTTGGGTGCACGGGTGACCGAGTTGCGTTCGGTGACCTACTGGATTTGCACCTTCAGCAACAACCAGTGGAAAGTACAAGAAGAACTGGGTGAGACGTGGGAGTTCTCATCCTTCTACCTGGCATTGCGTAGCGCCGGGTACAAAGGCACCGTCATGGTTCTAGATGAGGCGGTGCGACCTTTGACAAGGTCGTGGTGCCTGTTTGAGCTACTGCAGACAGCTACCCTAAGCAGGGAGAAGAAGCTTCAAGGGCTGTTTCTTGGCACGCCCTCTGGAATCATGAACCTTGGTCAGTGCAACATGGACCTTGCTTTCACCATCAGCCAGAAGCTGTCGAGCCTGAAGCTGCAAGATGCCAGCGCCAGCTCCCTGGACGCCTGGAGTCAGCCTTCAGTAAGCAGCTTTTTTTGCTAGAACTGTAGTCTTCCCGAGCGAAAGGTTCCCGCATTTGTGTTCAAACCCCGGCTGAAGGAAGACAAGAAGATGATTGATGACTTGGTTCGGGCTCAACCAGGTGGCTTTGATCAGGTGAACAAGTTTCTCATCCAGGCAGTGAGTGAGGCGCTGGATGCAACGCAGACACGATCCTCTGTTGCCATCCTCCTTTCTGTGAGCGTTTCAGTGGTTTAGTGGTGCTTAAGGGGAGTGGAGGAGGCAATAGTCTTGCAACCGAGGATTCCAAGCCGACCTGGCTACCTTGCAGAAAGGGCTCTCTGCCTACATTTGTGCGGATAAAACGGAACCCGATTGATGCACGTCGATGCACTTCTTGCAACTCATCCAGAAGTGAGGTACCGGTGCCTTAGCGGAAGTGATGGGGAGCGAATTGCCCATGGTCCCTACAGAATCCTCATTACGAGTACCCATGCATTCATGCCTCCACTCCTTCCAAGCACCGGTATGCCATGAATCCATGTTCGCAAGCCACTATCTGGAGGGCTCCCCATACTCTTATCTTAGAGTCTTAGCGTTCGCACAAGGCATCATGTTGGTACAGAGCGGTTTCTTTCTCATCGGAATCCGATCGCAGCCCCTTGACTGAAATTGTCAATGTCCTTGTCCGCAAGCCGAAACAGACCCCACAACGTCCATCCCCTCAAGGACTCTCACTATTTACCGTTCCAGTAATTTGGGGGTTTCCGAAAATAGGTGTACCCTTTTTGGGGCTTCCTATAGTAAGGATGATTGTATTTGGGGGGTATTTAAGGGGTACCCCTACTTTGGGACATGCCCATTTGCATCAGTGCAAGAAAAAGGGCGATCATGCGACTGTCAGTGGCCTGAGAAAGCCAGGAAGCGAGTGAGATGTGCAACCTCATACACATGGAGGCATTTGCCTGCTTGGCGAATCATGGTGCGAAGCCTTTCAAATATGGGTACTGAGGTGATAATTCATGAGCCGAAAGCCACTCTGCTTCAGTGCAAAAAGAAGCTAACGGCTTGTCAATCTTCATTGTTTTTTCCGAGCAGGGTTCCTAGATTCCCTTGCGAAACGGCGAAGAGTTGGTGCAGGTGTCACACATATGATACCTGCTTTTGAAACGCTAGGATGCCTGGACTCTGCTGCAGAAGTCAGCAAAGCATATGCCTAACAAGGGCAAAATAGCCACAGCAGACAGAAAACAGGCTTCAAGATACTTACGCACCATGATGCGAAGGAGCCCTAAAAAGTGTCAAGGACGGCTAGAGAGCCATGGAGAGCCTAGAGAGGGTTAGAAACTTATTGGAGTTTGAAGCGGATGTCGCTCCAGCAAAGACCGCGCAGAGCAAGCTTTGCGTTTGGTTGGGCATTGCCCAAGGTCTTCTTGTATAGCTGCTTTGCACCCAATAGGATTTGTTTTAGAGGTATCGTGAGGAAGTAGGATTGCTTCAATGCGTTTCTTATAGATTTTGTGAGGAAATAAGATCATTCAATATCCCAATAAATCTCGTGAGGAAATAAGATTTGCTTTAACATCTTATTTAATGAGTATGGAGGAAGTAGGATCATATTCAGAAGTTGAATTCTATTCAAAGGAAACAGGACTTATTTGAGCGGTGCCAAAAACCTTCCATGAAAGAATTAGATAGAGGGTTCGCCTTTGATTGGCCCGCGTCAGCTAAAGTCCTAGGCGCGCCAGTGCGCGATAGTTTCTGCGAGAGAGCTCTGTTTACGAGAGCGCGCGATAACGCGCGAGAGGGTTTTCAGCAGCTTCCCGCGATAGTCCGCGTCAGTGCAACCCCCCCAAAAACGTGCGCGTCAGCGCGCGAAGAGGTCTGCAAAGGCCGCGCGAGAGCCCGCGAGAGCACTTCCATAGTCGAACAAAAATCTCAAAGGGTTTTCGCCATTGCTCATTTTAATGACCTTGTCTTCCGGGCCAAGTGCAGAAACCTAAGATGCTGGCGTGGCGCCGAATTTCGAGTCTGAAACTGTCCATGCAGCTTCTCCAAGGTGTCTTTTAGTGCGAGGGTCCGTGAAGAGCTGCGAGACTGCGCTATATCTTCTTTTTCCTTTAAAGCCAAAGTGTGACTTCGCAGCTCATGGGCTTTGTGTTCACGTACGTGCAACTTCGCAGATCAACTCTGCAACTCGAGATGTGGGCCCCGCTATTTTGCATGTACCCGAGTTGGACAGCCCGGCCGAGCGCGCATCACGAATCGCAAGGCTCTGATAAGCGGCAGCCCGTCTCCTAAGCCGCCAATGTCCCGTCAGTTCCTTCCTTTGTGTGGAAAGTGGAACTGCTGGAGCTGAATCGTACGCGCAGATGGTTTGTGGATGATTGTGAATGTTTGTAGGTGTCGCGACTTCTTGCAAGTGTTTGGCTCATTTCAGCCATGGAAGATATTGATCTGACTTCCCCGACGTCCCAGGGTTCGGGGCTGAACGGGTTTGTGCTTTGTTGTCGTCGCGTGGTGCTTGCTCTGCAATGCCAACCACCGCAGCTAAGTGATCAATCTCATTCCTGTGGGCCTGCTCCCAGACTTCACCAAGTGCACAACCTGACATCAAACTGAGACCTGCGGCAGCGTGTCGAAGATGCTGCTCAGCGCGTTGGGGACCTCCGGAGAGAAGTCCAATGCCAATGCCCCGGTCTTGCGCTGCACGGCCAACCACCTGACCAACAGTATGCTTAATCAGTACTGCGCAGGCACCCTTTGGTTCTGGTGCTGCTGTCCGACTTCTGAAGCTTGGGCTCAAATTTGGCGATTCCTGTTGCAGTGTATTTGCATTGCTGTCCTGAGTCTACCTGCTATCGCAAAAACAGGAAGCCGCGCGAGCGCCCTCCCACCTGCTGTTCTTAGTCAACTGTGTCGATCTACTGCGCGGTCCAGCGTGCTGCTCTGCACACGTGTGCCCGCGTACATCCGTTGGCGCGTAGCCCTCACATACAGACATAGCATTCAACATGCATGTTGCGCAGTGCTTGCCATAAGCGTACTGCGTGACCACAGTATGGGTGATCGATAGAGATTTGTGCATTTGAGTTTTTGGTCTGATTGTGACAGAAACGGTTGGGATGAACCCATGAATGATGGTTGCTTTCTACAATGGAAGCGCATTCGCAAGGCGAGCTGTGATGGTCATTGTGCTGCTGTTACAAGTGTGATTTGATTCGCCCAGTGCTAGTGCTATGCTGATGGAGATTGTTGTTCTATTGCAGCGTTGCTGTTAATGTGTGCTTTGCTGTATACCTTCCAATACAAAGAAGCCAAGTGGTGGCTGTTGCGCACCGCGTCGCCGCGGCATTCTTGGGAGCAGCGCGGTTAATGTCGTAATAGGAGTAGGACTGTAGGAATACGAGCAGTGCAGCAGTCATTCGCATGTTCTAATTTGCTGCCGCCAAGGGCACGAAAGATGAACACGAAGAGGTCGTTCACGAGGCTTCAGCTCTTGTTGTTGCTGACTTGGTGCATGATCAAGAAGACCCACAAACCTGAGCCTGCAGGCTTGGGCGATGTTGCCTGTTCTGGGTGTTCGCGGCGAACGTCCTGTCCCCCTTGACGCTTCTGCCCCTTCTGCCAAACAAGGGTGACTGGCAGGATGCCGAATTTCCCCAGGCGCTCCTGCGCCCGTCTGATGGCCTGTCTACGACCCCGGACGGCGTCCCAAGCAAGGGCGCCGGCAACAGCTTCCTGTGGACACTATCGCTAAGTCCAACATCATGCTTTGTCCCACTCGGGGCACCTTTGTCCGAGAAGGGGTCGCTACGACCAAGAATGGGACGATTTGGAGGGTTTGGAGGGCATCCTCTGGAGCAGGCCGCGGTCAGCTTTGAACCAATCATCGGCACGGACCCTGGCTCTGGCCTTGATGCCAAGCGTTTCAGGGAGAGCAGTTCTCTGTGGAAGCGCGATAAGGTTTGTGGTGATTCCGATGGCTTGTTGGAAGACCTGCCCATGGCCCAGAGCAGCAACAAGGGAGTGGGCCAGAGCATGGGCTACGGAATCCTCGTGATGAACTCCCGCAGCCCACCCATCCTGTCCCACTTCGCTCTGTCCGAGCACGCCGCACTCTTTACGTAGTGTGCGCGTGGCGCAGAAGCGTGGCGATGGGCCAAGGGGCCAATGCCCTGGTGCTTGTAGGTTGGTCGACTGTCGTGGCGGAAGGAAATCAACAGGATGACAAAAAGTTGCGTGTATGTCGATTATGTTGCGTGCCGATGCTGGTTCATCCGGAGCGCGTGCGATTGGCTGCTGCTGTTGGCTTTCGCGCATTAGTCTCAGGGTGACGATGCTTAGACCGACTGAGCGAGCTTTCGGTAGTCGTGATCTAGTCTCCGGCGGCGCTGCGTTGTTGTAATGCGGTTGTAGTCGCAGCAGGTGCAACCTTGACCTTATTTAAGCGCTCTAGCCGCGATAGATCCTAAAACGCCGGGCGACGAGGCTCCAATACTGATGCTGCTTTTGGTTGAGCCGTGGTTCAAGTTGATTTGGAGAGAAGGGTTCGGCCGCCGGCCTATTGGGCGACGATGGCCGCATCCAAAAAAGAGCTGAAAGAGAAGTTGAAGGCCTTGCTGGAGGATGGGCAGCCGAGCTCCAGGTTGTCCCCGTCGTTGCTTGACCGTGGCTTCGCACTAGATTTCTGCCAGGAGGAGGCCCGCTTGAAGCACCGAATTCTGAAGATAAAGCAGCAGCGAAGGAAGGCCCAACAGCTCTCCTGTTTCCGTATCTTTGACATCTTTTTTGTCTTTCTGCGCAGAGCAACCAGCCTGCAAGGCCGGGTTTGTGGCGGAAGCGTTGACGTCGAGAGCTCCAGACTTAGATTCGCGTAGATAGTAGGCGTTTTTCGGATTGAGAATATGCGAGAGTTTGTATGGGTTATTCAGCATGCCCGCAGGTGGCCCGCGAGGTGAAGTCTTGGGTGTATGAGGTCGGCAGCTCAGACAATCAACCGTGTCGGAGCCTTGTCTTTGCACAAGATCCCTTGCAATGTGAATTCTGCAAGGCGGCCAAGCCAGCTTATCTCGTGGTCGAGGCTCGGATATCAGCATCTTTTGGACAGAGTCCGCTCCAGTCACCCTGCGAGGGCGTGCAAGAAACCATGGCGTCGTGGTGCTGTTGCAGCGGTTGGCTGCTGGTGGACACACACGAGGTGCAGATTTGAGGCAGGGGGGCATGTAATCTGCTGGCCGAATGCAGCGTCGAGCCACCCCAAGCAAAACGCGACACTCACATGGCGGCTCCATACAAAGCTTTCGTGAGAGCGAGCCGCTCAAAAGCTCTTAGCCTCACATGCGTCCAGCATTTTTCTGTAAGTTGCAGAAGCTCATCAGCAATTACGGTTCAGGAGTTATTTCCGGAGCCTCGCATCGTTGAGGCCGTTGTGGCCTTCAATGTCGAGAGCAACTGGTTCCTTCTACAAGGCCTTCCCGAAAAGTGTAATGATTAGAAGGAGTATTGATCGGAATCGTCTGCATTTCAGGATGACTCCTGGTGCTCGGCGAGGAAGTGGTTGCACACATGCAATCAAGTGTTGAGATTGTTGCATTCAGGCTAAATATTCTTGCACCTATGGGGATGATATAGCGAAATCGCTGACTGTTGCAAGGACTATAGGTGGACTACAAGGCAGTGCTTCGGGAGCAGGCGCCGGAAGTTGTGCAGACATATATATGACCTGACGGATGTGACGTGCCCGCAGGTTGCCAACAGCGAGATGTGCAGCGCAAACGGCTTTCCCATAGTCTCACTTGGCCCTAATCGCGCGGTTCAAATTCGTGAGAGCCTGCCGAAATCATCGACAAAGGATTGTGGTGGCGGCTGACACGACTTGAGTAACTTGAACTAATGAAACAAGTGTGGCAGATGTAAACTTGGATTCTTCATCATTAACAGTCGTATGTTTTTACTGCTTCATGCGTTCTGATTTAAATGTCATGTGTGCTATCGTATGTCCTTATTATGGCTGATTCCAAGCGAGTGCTACTACTCCTCGCTAGGTCTTACTTGCGTTCTTCCCCCTTACAGACCCGAATTGATGGCGTAATGATGTGTTGAGCTATATGGCCATTGTGCCGACAATTCGTATTGGGAAACGCCACGCATCAGGTGGGTTACGTAGGGAGAACTGGGACATGAAAATGATGCCATCTATATGACGTAGGATAATTTATGTTCACTTTGCCGAATTGAAATTGGAAGCTTTTAACATGGTTAACGTCTACGGCCTAGACTCGTCGCGAAACGTAATATAAGTTCATGCGGTCGACGGGTGCGGTTCGGGGTGATGCCCGAAGGACGTACCGCCTGAGTCCAAATCAAAAACCCATTTAATTAGGCTAATTCTTGGTCCGATCCGTCGTGTTTGAAAGCTTTGTTTTCTTAGGGCGGCCGCAATGATTTACATATGTTGAATAGAAGAGCCGCAGCGGTTTGTGTGAGCTAGATCGATTATTGATATTCCGCTCGATATCCTCAATCGTGCTCAACATAGCTTGTCCTCTGGGAGAGCCGAAACCCCAAACCCTAAGCACGTTTCAATAAGAGAA